AATTATGTGAGTCACATAATTATGCAAGTTTACCCTATCATCATACCAAATTTCATCAAAATCTGTCCAGTGGTTATCTCGTGATGCGGTAACAGACAGACAGACAAAAATTCTAAAAACTATAGAACTATAGTCTCTGTGTTGATAATAATGTCTATTTCAATAAGATTTTCCAAACAATATTTAATGTACAGATTCGGCTCAGTTATAATTTTATTATATGTATAGATTAAATAGCAAAAAGACCTTGGTAACGTTCTTTCCATTAACCGTCGAGGAATATAAAACAATATAATGTGACCAGTAATGAGAGCATGTATGTAAGTAATTATATGTACATCTATTTTAATAACAATGCCATTTGCTCACAAAAACATTACAATGCTTCATTTACCTACTAGAAATTACTTGAGTTTATTTAAAAAAAAAATGTTTGTTTTTTATTATTAAATATCTATCTCAGACCAATAATAAGGTATTTTATTGGTCTGAGATCTCTATATGGAGTTTAATCCAATGTCCAGCATTAAAACTGGCATCTATTTACGAACAAACGCAAGATACTTAGTTCTTGCTGCCGTGGACATGAAGCATTACAGCGTCACACATATGTACAACATATACGCAAATTATAATTGATCCACAGGAGTGTAAAGAAGTGGCAAAGTGCCTTATATGAAATACTATAACCACTTATGTACATATCTTGCAAAGCTGCAGGTCAGTTGTATGTTACAGCGAATTGACAGCTATATACCTACTCTAATTAATGTTTATATTATACTGGCACTGCCCGCGGCTCCGCCCGCGTTCAGATGAGAAAAACCTAATTCTTAGATTTTACATATTAGTATACTCTTACATTGCAGTTTTTGTATTTTTTCTCAGAAATGAAATATTTTCCCGCGGTAAAAAGTATCCTATATGTTTATCCGGATAACCAGCTATCACCATACCAAATTTAATCAAAATCACTGTAGTGGTTTTTCCGTGATGCGGTAACAGACAGACAGACAGACAAAAATTCTAAAAACTATAGGTTCGGCCTCTGTACCAATAATAATGTCTATTTCAATAAGATTTTCCACAGAATATTTAATTTGCAGATTTGGCTTAGTTACAATTTTATTATATGTACATAGAATATGAAGTCTAGGTGAGCTTAATTCCTTCTGCCTTAGCCAGTACTACAGCCAGTACATTTAACATAATTCCTCCCACTTCATTATACCAATAGTAAAAAAAAATATTACAAAAATAAGTAACTCGACTGCGTAAACAGCGAACTAAAATCCTCCTCCTCAGGATATATATTACGGTGTAATTGAACATACACATACCCAACATCCAAATAAAAAGTTTGTCTTCTGCTCCAAATTGTTCTACCAGTCCACATATTTTTGGTAAAAAGTCACACCATTTTGAGCGTCACGTTTGGAGAAGAAGGTGGTTAAGAGTTGGTAAATTAGTAGTTTCTATCAGTTTTTCTTAAAAACTAGCGGCTCACCCTCGCTTCGCTCGGGTTCGTCGCTAGAATTTAAATAGATGTAAATAGTTATTAGCCAGCGTTAATCATATAAATCTTAATTTTTTTTCGTGATTTTTCTGGTGTTTTAATACTTATTAACCTATTCCAGACTAAGAGAAATCCAAAAATTCAAATATCATAAAAATTGTTCCACCCATTCTTGAGTTTTATGTCACGTCAGACGGGAACGCGGTCGAACGGGATAAAAAGTATCCTATGTCCGTCTCCTGGTTCTAAGCTACCTCCCCACCAATTTTCAGCCAAATCGGTTTAGCCGTTCTTGAGTTATAAATAGTGTAACTAACACGACTTTCTTTTATATATATAATATATAGATTTTGAAAACTATGCGATTTAGCGTAAAAAGTGTTATTCATAAAAATAATCTACATTAAATTACAAACAAAAATGATCCCGTGCATAATCTTGCTAAAAGTAGGTAAACTAAACGGTTCCAGAGTTACGGAGCGTGTAAAAGTAGCAATTTTTCGCATTCATTAGGTTTTTTGAAAAAAATATAATACAGTAAGGAAACTAGTTTTTTTTATACAGGATTGTGTTTTGTAAAAGCAAAGTACGATTTTAGTGGCCGGTGGTATGTTAGTGAGATGCCCTTAACGTTGAAGGAAGGACAACCACACCACCTTCTGAAGGGGCGCAACTTTTTAAATAAAAAGAGGCTTCCACAGGCCAAGGCCAAATAAACCTTGTGGTACGGATAAACCTACTCACAACTTTCTCTTGACAATGCCGCATTAAGAATCGGGGGGCACGGCAGTGCCTCCGCCAAGTCGAGCCAAAACGGGCACGGCAGTAGGTACCATCCTTTTCTCGAAGCGATTCAGGGCATTTTCCTCCCCCCTATAACTTCGTTATGGATGAAGCTAGAAGCCTGAATTTTCAGTGATGAATATCTTTCAACATAAATGATTTTAAAATATAAAAATTGTATCTATGAAAACTACTAATTTACCAACGTCTAACTCCTCTCCCCCCGAAACCCGACGTTCAAAATAGTGTAACTTTTTACCAAATAATATGTGGACTATATAGAACAATTTTGTGTTGGAGCGAAACTTTTACTTTGGATGTTGAGATTAGGCTGACTTTTGGACTAATTGCATTGTACTAATACAGACTTAAGTAGGTAGTACCTGCTGGCTTTTCTAGCTAATTAATCACACATAAACAACAGGTTGTATGCGTAAATGAATTTCCCTGAAAAAAAAAACACATCCGAGTATTTCAGGTATGCTTTATATGGCCTGGCACCGATTTCGAAAATATTTGATTAGGTATGTATTTAATAGGTAGGCTTTAATTACTTAGCCAAAGCACACCGACTTCGAATATATTTGATTAGGTATGTATAGTAAATGAAAACTACCAATCAGTTATTTTTTACTTTTTAGTGCTTTTGTTTGAAGTCGGTTTTTATTTTTTTGTTAAAATGTTTTTATTTTTCCCTTTTTAGTGTAGACAGTAGTAGCAAAGTAAGAATTCTAACGTATTAGGCTTGTCAAATCAAACAAAACAAGCCCAAACTCAAAGTATCTACTATTAGCCGTTGAAGAGTTCCACCTATCCACCTTCTGACCTAACCATCAGACCAGGTCAACAATAACGAACCACTGTACTATCAACGGAAATAGAAACACTTGCAAAGTTTTAAGTCAATATGACAATTAGAAGTAGGTTAATTTCATTATTAGCTATTTTACCACCCTTAGAGGTGGTATTTTTTTTTGAAATTTAAATGGGACCAATCTGAAAGTATACACTTTCAAACAACACAAAAATTGTTCAAATCGGTTAATAAATGACGGAGTTCTGAGGTAACAAACATAAAAAAAAAACATACAGTCGAATTGAGAACCTCCTCCCTTTTTGAAGTCGGTTGATAAGTTATAGACAAAAATCACAATGAGTTTTACTATTTTGGCGTTTATGAAGTGGGGAAAGCGAAACGTATTTACACATTGCTAAAAATGAATCAATAAATAGATTAACTATTAAGTATTTACTGATGTCAATAATTTGTTAAAACCTTTTTAATGCTATCATTATTTTTGTAGATTTCATGATTTTAAAGAAATCATGAATAAAATTATGGCTCCGCCCTGTTGAAAAACTCCAATAGGATCTCATCAAAAGTGACAAAAGCCACATAGACATTATTATCGATACAGAGTCCGAATCTATAGTTTTTAGAGTCTTTGTCTGTCTGTCTGTCACGGAAAAACCACTGGACAGATTTTGATGAAATTGGTACGATGATAGCTGATATCCGGGTCAACATATAGGATATTTTTTATTGCGGGAAAATATCTCATTTCTGAGAAAAAATACAAAAACTACATTGTAAGAATGTACTAATATGTAAAACGTAAGAATTTGGTTTTTGGTCATCTGAACGCGGGCGGAGCCGCGGGCAATGCTAGTTCGTTTCTATGTCGCTTTTGTCGCTTTTGATGAGATCCTATTGGAGTTTTTTAATAGGGATGTTGTTGTTGCTATTGCAAGGATAGGAACTTCTCTTATTGTTAAGACATAAGTATAATGATAATAAAAATACCTACTTAAGTTTTACCACAATTTAAGAATATTAAGCTTCTTTGGATTATTGGATTAGCAGAGCCTGGAATATTAATAGTTTTTTTAATAAATGTGATTCAGAATCAGAGGCTACATCACTTTATTTGATAAATATTTTAACAAAATTTTGTTAGTATTGTGAAAAATCTCCATGTAAGATATTTCTGTGACAAAGATCAAAATCGAATTAAGACCGGGACGATTCAACTAGAAGTAAGGATCTATTAAATAATACAAAAATATTGTTCAATATGATAGATTTATTCAAAATATAGATTTTTTACTTATTTAAAACTATATGTTGTATTAATAAAAGTTATATAGGTGCTTCTCATTTTAAAAATATTGTACTACTTCTAAAATGTTACATTTAAAATTAGAACTTTATTCTATGCTTTGTGATTGCTATTAAGATATAATCTTTTAGATACAAACCTTGCATCCAAATCCTTTAATTTCGGGACAGTATTCTGTTTCAACTCTTTTGAAGTAGCTAAGTAATTGTTTTTAAAACATTTAGTTTCATCTTTGCAAATGCAAGTGTTCTTTACAATAGATTTTGTTTTAATAACTTTATTATCATCTTGGTTATAATGATCAAGAATTGTGTTTATACTGTTAATCCTAACAGTAAGCATTAAATTTGAACTAGGGTAAACAAAGAATGCAAACATTGTGAGCCCTACTAGACATTGTATTGGAACTGCAGTAGCCCAATATTTTTGAGGATAGTAGTGAATATTTAAATAATGTAAACATTGATCAGGAACAAAAGCCCAAATACAGTACACTAACAAAACAATTTTACTGAATATATACATGAAAAATCCATACAATGATCTAGATGGAGTGGGTGCTGGTGTATGCTCTGGCATTATAAAGCAAAAGTATTAAATGTTTTTACAATTAACAAAACATTTTTTAAAAAAGCGTTAATTGATACTCTCAGCTTTTTGTATTCAACACCTTCAAAAGTACTGAAAAAAAGAGAGGACATTTATTTATTTTTTTATTTTTACTTAATCACATTTATTAGAGGAAGAGCAACTTACACAAGCAAACTATTATCTTCAAAGTTTATGTTTCTATGGATTCCACTACCTTTAAGTTCTTTGTCAACATTTAAAATTTCTGTCACTAATATAGCTTGTTCTTCGTTTTTAAAAGGGATTTGTAACGTTCTGAAATCCAAATATATTGTTCATTAAATATATTCTTAAGAAAATAAAATATATAAATAACTTTATAATATCATTACGAACATTCGTTTTATTGGTTGATCCGTCATAGCTCGATTTCTTAAGTTATTTCTAAATGCTATATTTCAGTTAAACGTGATTCTCATTAATATTTTTTTATTGTTTGATAATTTATGATCAGTAAATAATCACATAATTCAATTCAATTCGATAAATAATGGCACTAATCATTTAAAAAATATTTGACAATTGACATTTATATTTTATAATATTACATTGTAAACCTGATGCGGGTGACATTTGTCAAACCGTTTCTTTTCACTATTGAATGTTCCTATGATTACAAACATGGCGTAATATTTCTATTTTCTAAATAATAAATATTATGAGTCATTGATGACTATAGTAAGTCAAAGAAATTTAACATACAAAATATAAAAAAAGGATGCTATTTTTAGGCATGTAACGTAACGCCTTTGTAATGAGACATTATTGTTACCATGGATGACAAATAAAAACTTTTTAACAAAACAATAAAAAACGACTTCAAACAAAAGCACTGAAAAGTAAAAAATAACTGATTGGTAGTTTTCATTTACTATACATACCTAATCAAATATTTTCGAAGTCGGTGTGCTTTGCTTTGTATGGGCTGGCACCGATTTCGAAAATATTTGATTAGGTATGTATTTAATAGGTAGGCTTTAATTACTTAGCCAAAGCACACCGACTTCGAAAATATTTGATTAGGTATGTATAGTAAATGAAAACTACCAATCAGTTATTTTTTACTTTTTAGTGCTTTTGTTTGAAGTCGGTTTTTATTTTTTTGTTAAAAAGTTTTTATTTTCCCATTTTTAGTGTAGACAGTAGTAGCAAAGTAAGGATTCTAACGTGTTAGGCTTGTCAAATCAAACAAAACAAGCCCAAACTCAAAGTATCTACTATTAGCCGTTGAAGAGTTTCACCTATCCACCTTCTGGCCTTGCCATCAGATCAGGTCAACAGCACGGAACCACTATACTATCAACGGAAATAGAAATACTTGCAAAGTTTTAAGCCAATATGACAATTAGAAGTAGGTTAAAGTCATCATTAGTTGTTTTTCCACCCTTAGGGGTGGTATTTTTTTTTGAAATTTAAATGGGACCAATCTGGAAGTATACCCTTTCAAACAAAACAAAAATTGTCCAAATCGGTTAATAAATGACGGAGTTCTGAGGTAACAAACATAAAAAAAAACATACTGTCGAATTGGGAACCTCCTCCTTTTTGAAGTCGGTTGATAAACATTTAATAAAATTGTAACTAAGCCGAATCTGTTCATTACTGATTACATATTTATTGGAAAATCTTATTGAAATAGACATTACTATCGATATAGAAGCCGAACCTATAGTTTTTAGAGTCTTTGTCTCTCTGTCTGTCACCACCACCACCAAAACCACTCGAGGGATTTTCATGAAATTTGATATGGTGATAGCTGATTATCCGGGTCAACATATAGGATACTTTTTACCGCAGGAAAATACCTCATTTCTGAGAAATAATACAAAAGGTTTTTGGTAAACGGAACGCGGGCGGAGACGAGGGCAATGCTGGTATACTCCATAGAGTATATTGCTACGGTTGATTTACGGTTGCTATAAAACAGCCATACTAAACCTTTTTTTATAGGAGCCACAAACACGTTTCAGTCATGGTTTCGAGGGCCGAAAGCAAAAATTATTTAGATCTTAATGATAACGTAATTCCAAATGTAGTTACTTTTTTAACAAAGATATGTTATAATGCGATTTTTGATGCTGCCGCATGCGGCCCGCGGGCCGCAGGTTGAGTATAGCTGTTATATAAGGTTGATTTTACAATAAAGATTATAAAATTTACGAAATGATCGTAAGTGTATGATGATAATTATTTGTGACTTTATGACAAGGTGCTATGGTGTTGATTAGGTTGAAAATAAAACTATTATAAGACTTTGTCATGGTTCGTTAGTATACAAACGTTAGCTGTTTAAGTACATATTCGCGCGGACAGAATTTAGCTTTGATTTTGTATGTGACACGTTATCTAGTAGTATTGTTGATCGAAGATAATTACCTTAGCACAATTGGTGACAAAGAGTATAGTTATAAACTGGGAAATTGGTGAGTGGTGACAGTTTTAAGAGAACTTTTGCATGGGTTTGTTTGAGATTGATCGAGTTCTTTTTGATCGATAAATATTTAATATATCGAAAAAGGGCGGAAAGCGACATAGACAAAACGAATGGGCTGCGAAAAGTCTTACGATTATTAAAGATATATTTTTATAACCATTTTACATTCCAATATAATATTACAATTTTAATTTAATTACTTTTTTTTAAAAGACAGGTATCGGCCGCACGTTCGCTTTCTCTCTTTCTGGGGAGTGATCAATTTTAAGCCGAAAATCTATTTTCTATTACTTTGTTGAAAGCTTTATAAAGATAGGAGATTAAGCTGTTTTGTGCTTGTTCTGTGTTGAGTTTCATTTGTTTAAATCTATTTTATCATCCTTTTTATGTAAAAATCTATACATCTATACATATTATAAAATTTTAACTAAGTCAAATCTGTACATTAAATATTTTTTGGAAAATCTTATTGAAATAGTCATTATTATCGATACAGAGGCCGAACCTATAGTTTTTAGAGTTTTTGTCTGTCTGGAAACGCATCACGAGAAAACCACTGGACAGATTTTGATGAAATTTGGACAGATTTTAAAAAACCTATACTAACCGCTAAAATATATTTAAGGAGGAACCCGACCGGAGCAAGGGTGTAGTAACTAGTATTATATAAGAATGATAAAATTTATTTGGAAATTTGCCATATTATGTTATATACATATTATGTATATTAACCTAACAAACACTATTAGAAATGAAAAGAAATCCTGTAAAAGATTTTATTAATATTTCAAACACAATTCACTATGTACAAATTACTTTGTAAAAATATTCATTCTCATCTTATTATTAATGATTTATTTACTGTTATAGGCAACACTTACAAAACATAATATAAAAAAAAACAATTATTATGAAAAAATATTTCATTATATTTTTAACCAATAAGTACAACGTAACATTTTTAATTATAATATGTTATGTTTAAAGATTGGAAAAAGAGTATATAAAATAATGGAATAGATAAGATTTATTGTCTATAATAAAATTAAATTTCAAAATATTATAATTTAAAATTTTTATGAGTACATATTTGATTATTGTTAACATGACTAGTTTCTATGTCGATTTTTCGATATGTTTATTGCATTTCACTAAAGAATTGATTTCAGTATTAAATCATTTCAGTGTGTATAATTATGATTATAATATTTTTATACTAGTGAGATTTTAATAAGAGAAGAATGGACACTGATATACACATAATTCTATATTATATATTTAAAAACAATGAATCCGAGTTACTTGGAAATTCCTACTTTGTTGAATATATATTTGAAGCAATGTCTTTGTTATGAAGACTTATCTTAATACGCCTAAAATATTGATTCCAAACTTTACCCATAACTTATTTGGTTAAAAATGTTTATGATAAACAATACAATAACCATTAACACTTCATTGTTATATTGTTTTATTAGACATAAAAATTATGCATAATAATGTATCAAAAGTATTATATATATATTCAGCAACTCAAAAATGGCATTTTCTAAAAAAAATATATTATTACTTTTTATTATTATATTAATCGTATGGCGTAATTCGGCACTAACATTTCTAAATATAAAAATTAAAACCTTTACACCATAGTACGAAATTGATTATTGGAGGAATGAAAATAACTAAATGTCAACTATAGAAAAGCTTTAAACGTATAAAGTATATCTCCTTCTAAATATCGCAAAGGCGACTCGAATTAAAGGAGAATCAAATAATAAATTCCGTCACTTAAGTTTGTAAATATATTATGTATATAATGTATATATAATATATAAATCAAGCCTCCCGGGAATCATAACCTCGTCGAAAGCCCAAATCTAAATAAAACTAAACAAAAACGTCACGTATATCTAATATTTCAAAGTAAAAAAAAACATCGTGCATGTGCATTATGCATATATCATTATTAAATAATGAAACAATACTCATTTTTTTTCACGTTGCACATCTTCGATTAAAATGTACACGAAATTTACCTGTACAATTAAATCGGTTTAAATAATAGTGACATTTAAAAAAAAGAATGAGGTGCAAATTGTTAACGGGAGGCGTGTAGATAAGTTAACGGCGCGGGCCCCATGCGGTGGTGGGGGCGGTGGGGGCGGCGGCGGCGGGCGCGGCGGCGCGCGGCGCGCCCGGCATGGTAGGGAACTCGTGCGTGGAGGCGGTGTCGGGCGCGCGCTGCTCCCACGGCCCGCCCTTCACCACGAAGCCCGTAGAGGGCGCCGGCGGTGCGCCACTGGCGATCTCCCCACTCAATACATCACCAAAGTCGCCCAGAGATGGCGCTGCTGGCCTTTGGTAACGATCCACCACATCTTGCAGCTGCAAATATTGTGTAACATATTATATTGTGAAATTAGGGCAAACTCAAAATCATAGTTAAAGTTCCAGTATGACATTATACATACATATTCCTCCGCCAAATTGAGAAGATGATCTTTGGCGTCTAAAACATTATCTTCATCGCCAGTTATAACGACAATGCTATCGTCCCCTTGCTTAGGGAATCTGATGTCCACCTTGAATTCATCCATTATGCGGCGAATGTTCTTTCCTTTTAGACCTATGAGCCTCCTGTGGACGCGGGGATCGATATCTACTTCATCCCTGTACTGATTGTCCTAAAAACAAATAAAGGATAGAATCAAGAGAATCATCAACTTAATATTACTTATGTATATATCTATATAATTAATAATAATTTAAAAAAATTAACTAAACACTTACAAGTTGATGCACAATCGCCATAATGGCTTCTTTGGCTTGCTTTGCCTTATCTTCATAACCCTGTACCGTGATAATATCATCATCAGGTTCTCCACGCTTTGGCAGGTTGATTTGCACTCCATAATCGGTACGGATTTTCGTGATAACAGAACCACCTTTACCAATAACCAGAGGATGGTACTCAGGGTCGACTTTAAATTTCAACTCAAACGACCTTTAAAATATATAAGAGAACAATAACTTACACCAAATAATACAAATAAACAATAAATTAATATTCATTAGTTAAATTAAGAAAAGCTACTTAATTCCTCCACGACCGCGGACACGCCGGCGTGTCAGTTAACAATAGATTTCTTAGAATTTTAATTAATTTCTTAGAAATTTACTTGGAGGTGTTAAAAAACAATGCTTTATATTTATTATATTTACCTCAAAATTCTATCTTCCTTTTCTTTTTCCATATCAACAATTTTGTCTACAAGGGCTAACTTAGCTTTTTCAACGTTTGCTGGTGTACCAGTAACCTAAAACATTAGAAAATGTGAACAACAATGAATAAAATGGAAAAATCAGTCTTTTAATGTTATAGAACTAACACTTTCTAATAGAATGATAAAGTATAATAAAATAGTCAATTATACCTTAACAATATCACTGTTTTCATCATTAGGTGGCATGAGAATGTGAACATCATAGTTCTGCATCAATTCTCTTCTCTTTTGACCAGCTAAAAGTCTATGAAGGTCATTCGGTACTTCAACATCTATCGTAATTGGCACCTAAAATAGACAATAAAATATAATAATTATTGTATATTATGCATAGTATTAAAATATATTTTGAAAATTTAAAAATTTAAAAAATAAATTATGTTTATTTCAAACCTGTTCAAGCAGAGCTTTCTTGGCAGCTTCACAGTTTTCGGGACGGCCTGTTATTCTGATAATATCATTGGCGTTTGGTTCGGAGTTATCTTCATTCTTCACTGGAATATCTGCACCTTCTGTAGGGTCGCGTTCGGGGAACTTGATTTGCACATCAAACTCTGCAGTGATATCTTTCACTTTGGCACCGCGAGCCCCCATTACTGTGCGGTGATGTCTTTGTGGAATGATACATTCTATTGTAACCTACAAAAAGTAAAATAATGTTACTTTACATTTCTCATATCAACAATACCATAAAACTAAAAAATATATTCAAACAAACCTTGGCCTCTAAGTCTTCGATAATTTCATTGATGCGTGTCTTAGCTGCCTCTATGCACTCCTTAGGCCCCTTGAGCACGACGCGGTCGCTGTTGATGCCCTGGCGCGGGAACGAGATCTGCACGCCGCCACAGTCGTCCGCGATGCGGCGCAGCACCTCGCCGCGGCGCGCCACGAAGTGTCGGTGGTGGCGCGGGTCTACCGGCATCTCGCCCTCTGACACGTTGCTTATCTCTGCGACCGCCGCTTCTAACTGCTTGCGAGCCGCCTCCACTTGCTCTTCTCGCCCTATTATTATTGGACTAGTATTATAAATGCAATTTTGTATGTGTAATGGTTGGACGAATTTAGATAAAATTTAGTACACGGACCAAAAGTAAGACATAGCTACTTTTAATATAAATATAAACAATGGGATTCTATATTTTATAGACATGATTATTATGGTAAGGCAAGGTAATATTCCTAGGTCCAAGAAACAGGTAAGCATGAATGATAAAAATGTACGCACCAATAATGAAAATAGCTTCTTTATCCTCATCTTTTTCAGTGGGAAAAATAATACGTGCTCCAGTCTGTTCCCGGATTTTTTTTATGTTAGCACCACTCTTGCCGATCAGGAACTTGTGATGTTCTGGTTTAGCACGTACTTGGGCCGTGTGGGAAGTGAGCTCGCGCTCAGTTGCATGCGCTAAAAGTTGCTGCTTGGCCTTTTCTACATCCTCTATTGGCCCTTTAATCAAGACCTTATCACTATCGCTGTCTGCGGGTGGGAACTTGATAAGTACGCCGCCACACTCTTCCATAATAGAATGTATGAGCTTACCGCCGGCACCAATCAACGAGTTGTAGTACTTGGGCGCGATAGTGACTTCCTCAGTGACAACATTCGCCTTTTCATTATGAATTTGCTGTATCCTTTTCACAGCTTCCTCTACATTCTCACGTTTACCCCGCACAGTGATAACGTCACTGTCGACACCCTCCGCGGGAAGATCAATAGCAGTCTGAGTTTCATCTCGAATTTTTCGTAAATTAACGCCACCCTTGCCAATGATAAATTTATGGAATTGCTTAAATATTGGCACTTCCTGTACATAAGAGGACTCTGCTATCTCCTTCATCAATTTATGGAGGTACTTCTCACATTTTTCAATGTCCTCTTGAGGACCTCTAAGTTTAATTGGACTTCTCTTTTGACCTTGGTCTGGCAGTGATATGAGAACACGGTCGAATTTTTCACGGATTTCCTTAATTTTATCTCCTCGAACTCCAATTAAAGACTTAATATATCTATGATCAACAAATACCTCTTTTGTTCTTTCATTTTCAAGTTTCATTACCATCTCTCTTAATTCCCTTTCAGCATCAGCAACACCTTGGTGACTGCCTTCAATGCGAATTACATTGTTTCCCTCGCTTTCAATAATATTAATAACTACACCAGTCTCATCTTTCAGTCTGTTAACTGTAAAAAACATTGTAAAACGTATTTATTTATTTGTAGTTCTATGATCAAAAGATAAAAGAGTTATTTTCTACTTACTGTTAGTTCCATTTTTGCCAATAATATGCTTAAAGAATTTAGGATCTACGGAGAGTTCCACATATGTGAGTGTTGCAAGCAAATTCTTAACAAAGCTATCCAATTCAACTTGTGCACGCTCAACTTCCTCTGGCGGTCCATCTATCTTAACCTTATCTTCCGAGTGTGTTATATCAACATGTACCTGAGATTACCACCATAATTATAAACATTATTAAATTCACAGATGATTTGTATGAGTATATAGTGATATTTTTATTACTGTTACCTTTGAGAAATCTTGAGTAATCTTCTTAATATTAGAGCCATTCTTTCCAATAATGTACTTATGTATCCATGTGGGGGCGTCAACAGTAGCAGTTTTAACAGAGTTTGCTTTTTCACATACCTTGGACAAAGCTAGAAAAACATAATTAACAATTAATAAGTTTTTAAAATTAACTAAATATATTTTATAAAAAGTACATACCAAGGCCAATTTTATTATGTGGTCCATGCAACGTAATAGTTCCAGTAGGGGAGTCAGGTGGGGGCATTTCAACAGATACACCAGTTTCTCTCAAAATTTCTTGAATCGTTGTTCCTCTAGCACCAATAACATACTTGTGTTGAGATTTAGGGACCTCAACACGGACAGTAGAGCACTTCTTTGCCTATTGGACAAAAAAAAGGGGTACCATAAATATGGATAATATATTATATTAGCATTCTCAGTGACTATGTACATGTTTGTTAATTTACCATTTCTTCATAAATCTGTTCGATTTGCGCCTTTGCTGCCAGTACGCCATTCTTCTCGCCTGCGATTACGATTTCATCGCTCTGAGTGGAGGCGGGCGGGATGTGGATGCGAGCGCCGGTCTCCGCGCTGAGAGCTGCTGCGCGCTCCCCGAACGGCCCTTGGATGAACGGGTGATAGATCTTAGGCACTGTTATACGTTCCAATGCCTTACGAGACTAAAAAGAAGTTATATTATATTAATATTACATTGCTATAGAAAATCAAAATATATCATAGTTTGTATTACTTTATTGCATATTTTTAAATAAAAGCACCTTAAATCTACTGCTCCTCAGTCAGCCTATTAATTAAATGACTATTTATGAAAACTATATTATGTTATTATGGTAACTTACACAAAAGAAAAAACAAAAGTGAAGGTAATTTAAAAGAGCACACGAAGAAAGTGCAATATCTAGTAAATTATTTAAATATTGTGTGTAAAAATTTCAATATTGAGATATGTACATAAACATTATAGGAATTTGTTGATTGGACCTAAATAGCCAAGGTTTTTTAAAAGGGATTAAAATTAACGATTGAACAATATAATAATAAATTACAAGTAAAATAACCTTATAAATACTATATATACTAATATTATAAATGTGAAAGTTTGTGAGTATGGATGTATGGATGTGTTACTCTTTTACACCAGAACGGCTGAACAGATCTGGATGAAATTTGGCACAGAGATAGATTATAGTCTGGAATAACACATGAGCCACTTTTTATCAAATGTATGGTTCCCGTGTGATAGGTTTGTTTTTGTCTTCTTAGAGGGGGAACCCGAACGAAGCAAGGGTGAGCCGCTAATATTATATAAAAATGATTTATCAAATAAATATTAGCACATACACCCTACACACGCCTTAATAAATATAATATAAGAATACTATAAAAATATATAAATAGTGATATATTTTCATATTGTAACTCATAACTAGAACTAAGGGGTTTGTTTTATTATAAAAAAATTGTTGCACATTCATACCTGTTCTTCAGAGCAGACTCTTATTTCATGTTCCGCTTTTTCAATGCCCTCTTTTGTTCCAGTTATAGTAATTGTTTCGCTGTTATCGGCTATACTAGGAACACTAATCTTAGTGGCTGTCACCTTCTCCAATTCTTTTAACTTTTGCCCTTGTTTGCCCAAAATCCAACGGTGATGCTCTTTAGGAATCGCAACTTGCTTACTTGCCTAAAAAAAATTATTATATTTTTTTATAATAGAAACCTTAAAATTTCTATGAAGATTAAGTTCATTAATTAATAGAAATCATGCATGATTTTAAGTTCATTACCTGTTGTTGAAAATGAGTCAATATAAGTCTTCTAGCATCAAGGACTGCACTGTGTTTCCCAGTAATAAGAAAAGTCAAGCTTCCATCCTTGCTAGTGGATATTTCAATATGGGCTCCAGTATCCTTGGTGATAGATTGACAAGTTCTTAAGGATTCACCTTCACCAAAAGTATTTGCGTTATCCAGTTTTCTCTCTTCATATGGCACATGGAAAACCTGTAACCATAACCATACCCATAAAATAGTTACCAACAATGATAACCTCTCCAAACATTATCATTGGTGTATGACAGACAGATGCACGCTTCAATAAATAAACTTTTCTTATAACAATGAATTTTAGTTACATTCATATTAGTAATTAATATAAGAATAAAGAATTTAAGCCCTTTTTTCATAAGTTTAACATGCAACTGATATGAATATTTTATAAAGTAAAAGTATATGTAAAAAATAAAAGATTTTTTAAAAGAGGCAATACTTACAATAAAAAAATCATTCATTTAATATAGTATAAGTACATACCAAGTTTTTATCAGTATTGGTTATATAATTGTGTGTTATCAAAGCAACATTAATTTTTTATCAGTATTGATACCTGGGTATGCAGAGAAGAGCCAACACGTAGTTTATTGTTCACTTGTTGTATGCTACGTTGCACAGGCAGTTGCGGGGCATGTGGCAATGCAGGAAACAGATCATCATAAGTATACGAGTTGCTGTTATCATATCCAACATTATTCATTTCTTCAGTATGCACGGGTATTTCAGAGTGTACAGGAATCATATCTCCAACCATCATGGATTGCTGATGCATCATTTTCGTCCCCTCCAGCAGTCCTTGTCCGCGCCAAGTCGTTACAGTACTACATTAGAAAAGACATCAAATTCAGTAAGATTACATAGTTTATTTGCACAAATGTTTAAAGAATATTATTTGCTTTACTAAAGCTGCTCATTAATTACATTTGAAGTATAGAATTGAAAGACAATTAACATGCAATTGATAGCTATAACTTTAAAAAATACAATCATATTTTATCATTTAGTAAGTAATATGGATTCCTTAAAGTACAACATTTAAAAAAGCTTAGAAATTAAGAAGCTCATTCAAATTGTTGACTTATCTAGGTTTTCAAATAATAGTTATAAACAAAATTTATTCTTTTATGGTGTTTTTTTTTTGGTATTCTTGTTTGTCTATTATAAACATTTATTAAATATCTATATAGTCTAACTATGTTCAACAATTTATCATAAAGAAGTAAAAAAAAATTATGGTAGCACGCATAGTTTACAATAAATTAATTGTAAAAACCAATTATTTGGGTAAAGAAAGTAAATAAAGAAACATATAATTGCAGATCTAAAAATAAAGTAACCTTTACATTCTTTAAATCATAGTAAATAGATGAATTCTTTGGTAAAATTACTATCTCTCATATGAATTATATAAAGTATAATGAAGTGTTTTAATTATTATCACAGGAAAAATCTAGACAGGACATAAAAATATTCATCCACTATCATCAAATTTAAAGTAATATAAATCTTATTTTTACTTAACTTCCAACACTAAATATACAAGAATTTCGAAATACTTCCAATTATTATAATAAGTATATATTTTCTAAAATAGTTTTTGTAAATGTACATGTCTGATACGAAAGTCATGTGGACAGGAATTTCAACTATATTTTGATAAAATTATTTTAGGATCTATTAACGTAAAATTATAATGAATATTTCAATATGGAATTATATATATTTTTGTAATTATATGTAAATTTAAAATGATTTTTTAAGGTTCGGCATTCCGGATTGTGATAATACGTGTCACCTTCTTCCAACACATTTGACGTGGAACTAGTCTTCGTGAAATATAGTAATACATACCTTATGTACTGCAGCTAATCAACCTGATAAATTATCGTAGAGACGCCAGGATCGATTTTTCTTTCTCCTATCAATAAATAATCATTTAATTAATAATCATTAAATTATTAAAAAGAAAACAAGATTTAATTTTTTCACACACACGTACCCAGTGCTACCGCAAGCAAGGAGAATAAAAAGCACAGATAATGAGAGAACACTGAAAGTTGAAAGTTGCAACCATGGATGACAAAGTTGCAACATTATTAGAGACCATAAAACAGAAAATAAGCAAATCTGAAAAAAATATATACGAAACAAAATTAATTGAATTTACATTTAAGTTAAGCAACCTTTTGAATAACTAGAAACATAATTTGCTAAATATTCTTTTACCGCACAAAAGTTTGCATGTACTAACATACAAAAAACAATTTTGTAAAATTTAAAAAGACAGAAATGCAGACCATAATAATTTGTCCACCGATAAGGTCTGCATAAATGGAATTGCTACTATTAAGTTAGTAGTTAAGTATTATAAAATGCTTTCTAGAGAGAGAAAACTTCATTATCACGTGGGTAAAACAGTTATTTTATATCTTTACAGTCGTGAAATATGAAAAACGTATATTATGTACTGCATTTTTTTCGTTACTATATTAATTAATAAAATATAATACATTCTTATTATTAGGAAAGTAGGTATATTAAGACTTCTTTTTTATTAAAATTCTTAATGCTTATATTATTCATAAAGAAAAAAAGCTAAAAATAAATAAGATGTCTTATTGCTAATCAGTTAGTAAGCCATATCTAGGAACTAGAGATGGGCCGAATGTGCTTTGAACCGAATACGAACTTCTTCCGAACATTCGAAGAGAATAAAAAAATCGGCCGAAATTCAGCCGAAATTTGGTTCAATTTTGCCATGCTTTCTTTTTTTTTCCTCTGCTTTCTTTTACGGATTTTTGTTCCTTATATATACCTCCTAACGTTTTGACGATATACAATTTTCAATTAAAAAAAATGCAGGTTTTAATTTTTTTGTTTCCAATCCGGATTCCGTTCGGACTAATTAGTATATAAAAGATTTTATTTTATTGTTATGACAGACAAGCTTTCTGTTAATTTCAGTCAAAATAGTCCAAGTACGTATTTTTTTTCTATTGTCGAATGTTCGGCATTCAAACCGAATTTCGGCCGAATGCCGAAGTTCGGTTCAAGCTGCCGAAATTCGGTTAAACTGAATGTAAAACGAATTTTCGGGACCAATCATATATTAGATAAAACTAAGATTTTTATTTGTCAATCTATTTTTAAGTTTGTAAATATTTTAATGTACGCATTTTTATTGGTCCACTATTTTACTATCTAATCTAATTTTATCCGTTTTTGTATAAAAGGAGTCATATTTTTAGCAATAAATGTTCTACTCAATTCTACGGATTCTACTGATTACAAGTTTCATTTACTAACCGCCAATTTGTAAAAGATCATACGTGTAGCATTCTCCTTTCAAGAAATCTTCCTCCTTGGTTAATCTGGCACCATAAACATTTTGGCTATTTGTTGTACCTCGTCTGTGCTGACCATAATGAAGTGTACACATATTAATAAACGGTGCAGTTCTTTTATCAAGCTCATTATTATTTTCTGTTTGACACGTTTTAAAAAATGTTTGTTTACTCAAATATTTTAGAATACAACATGAAATATTATTAAAATTGTTTATAGAATCAAGATCAGTTATCTATGCTTTACATGAATATTACTAACACAGACCAGGAACAACAAGAATTACTAAGCAAAAAGTATCTTTTTATTAGATTACACATTAGAATTTTATTTTTCCATTGCCTCATGCGTAGTATCCATAGAGATTAAAGACCTTCACTTAATAATGATGGTCTGTACTCTGTGGCCATAATTTATCTATGGTCTATTAAATTGTTGGTGTGGTTACAGATTTTAGATTTAAGGAATTATAACAATTTGTCGACTTTAAGTTTGAGAATAAGTGTAAAATAAGTTTTTTTTTGAGTAAATGTAATTCATGCAATGGATAAAATACCCAGAACTCACGAAGGTAATTAAGAAATATTTCTTTTCTGAAAAAACGGATATTGTTATATTCAGCCATGATAAGTTTTCATGAGCGTTTTTATAATGTCTAATATATTTTACCCATTCTTTTTTGATTATCCACAATTGGAAAGGATTATATTTAGTTGTACTATCCGATAATTCCTAGAGGGTAAATTATTTATTTATTACTGATGTAAAGTACTAATTGGTAGCTATATGAATAAATTAATACTTTTTTACAGCCATAGAGGCACAAATACGAGAAATACAGTCGAAGAAAAATGAACTTCCTGAAAATGGTTCAGGAAAAGGGGTTTCCTTAGGCGAAACTTACTATGACAATGATATTTATGACAATGCTGGACAAGGTGGTAAATCGAGGTATGATGGGTATGTTACTTCTATTGCGGCTAATGATGAAGTGGAAGATGAAGATGTTGAAAATGTACCTATATCACAGAAACGGCCTGGATACACAGCACCGGCATCTTTATTAAATGATATTGCCCAGGTTAGATTATTAGATTACCTTCTACAAGTGGCTAGTTAGATATTCTAAATTTGATCTAGAATTTATTTATTAGTTATAACAAAATAACTATTGACTTGCCCTGCTTCGCTCGGACTCATCCCTTGGTGTTGGTACATTTTACCCTGTTAGTATGAAATTATAGACTATATATTATATATAAATAGGTACAAAATTTGTTTTGTTTGGTTTGGGGTTCCCCTATATTTTTTATACTTAAACAACCCGGACACCCCCCCCCCCCCACAAAACAAAAAAAATATGTTTTGGAGTTTTAACGAGACTAATGAACGGAAATTGATTTTTATATGTATAAATTATATTATAATTGACATTTAGTAATATTTCTGAACTATTAATGACTGCATGGAGAAAACGCAAAAACTCTAGCTGCATACTCTGCTAAATCACAATGGCAACTTTTTGAGAATCTTTTATCAGAAATTGGATATGTGGAATAGACTAACTACATATGTATATCTTACATATTTTTTTTATAATCTAAATTCTAATGATAAATAATAAAATACTCATTTTTATAATTTTATTTTTAGAGTGACAAAGATTATGATCCTTTTGCTGATAAAAGAAGACCTACAATTGCTGATAGAGAAGATGAATATCGACAAAAAAGACGTCGGATGATTATATCTCCTGAAAGATCAGATCCATTTGCTGAAGGTATAATATTATTTAAATTATTTTAAAACATTTTATATCCAAAAAGATAATAATTTATATGCAAAACAGATTAAGTAAATATTTCTACATACTTATTTTATTTCTAGGAGGTAAAACCCCAGATGTAGGCTCCAGAACTTATACAGAAATTATGAAAGAACAGTACCTTAGAGCAGAGGAAACAGAAGTAAGTTATAAAAATAGCCAATATATATTTAATTACAACTTTATTCATATAATGAATCTCTTTTTTTTTTTAAATATGTTACATCATCTCTCTACCGATTTCGGGTCAGTGCAGTACATCTTCCATACTGCTGAAAGGTTTTGGTAAAGGTTTTACAACCGGCCGCCTGCCTGACATCAACTCTTCTTGGGAATTAAAATTTATTAATTGATTCTTAAAATGTGACATCTTCATTTAATTCTGATTATGTACAATGTAATACTTTTCCAGTTAAGAAAAAAATTATTAGAAAGAGCTAGGGAAGGTACATTGAAACCAGTTGCGCAATCAAATGGTGAAGCTGTAAAGCCTGCAGCTGCAAAACGCAAGGGTCGTTGGGACCAAAGTTCGGAAGATACACCATCTGTTAAGAAGCCAGTAATATCAGTTACACCTAGCTCTCAAGCTACACCCTCATGGGAGAATGAGGTATTTAATAGCAATTTTTTACTTTATAAAGTCCCTTAATCTATATTTTAAGAAATTTAGATTTCATTTAATTTGATTAATAATTAAATAATTGAAGGAAATGGAATATAATGCATAATTATCAAAATCAATCAAAAATCCTAATCATTGCCAGTTCAACAATGAGCTAGGTGAGACACTTATGTAATATGTATATTTCTTTTGTAAGGTTAGTTTTTTTTAAGGATTGTATCATGTATGTTCTAAGTTTTGCATCAAAGTCACATCCATTTAATAAGCTGCTAATAAACTTAGAGTGAATTATTTTTAGGCCATCGAGTCCTATAGTTTATAATAAAATATTTCATTTCATGTATCTATTTAGCTCATATTGTTTAAATTTTACAGTTATTACACTGTTTTAGCATCGTCTACATTTATTAATGACACAATAATGACTGAACTTACAATAAACACAAAAAGAAAGAATATGGTATATACTATGTAGCAAAATATGGAAAATTTTAAATTATCTTGAAAGACTTTATAACAAAAAGAAATAAAAAAACTCAAAATTTGCAAGAGGTTCGAAAAATGTTGACTACTTAGGGGCCTATACACCAAGTGATTTGTTAGTTTTAGTAACAACCTATTTTGGCTATAAAAATACCTCATTGCATAATAGTGTGTACTATGCAAGAAAAATGCTTTTTTTATTAATAAAATTATGAATTGGGCAACTTGTTCAAATATTGTTATTCTGCAAATAATACTTTACTCAATTTGAATCTCCAAAGTAATTCAAATTTGGGTTTTTTTACTAAAATATCATGACTTGAGGACTTTTTAGAAAGTAAATAAAATATCACGATCATTCGCCCGTCGCCCTAATAATGCTAATTTTGTTAACTATTTATTGCAATAACTTAGCGAGGCGCCTGGGAAGAGACACCAGGTGCAGGCGGGCGCGGTGGCGACACGCCGGGCGCTACGCCCTCGGCGCGTGTGTGGGACGCCACGCCGGCGCACCTCACGCCCGGCCACGCTACGCCTGGCCGCGAGACGCCCGCGCACCACGCCTCGCGACGCAATCGCTGGGATGAGACGCCAAAAACTGACAGAGGTTGAATTTGTATTTTTCAATAATCCTATACGAGTCACGGCAAATATTTGTAATAGTGCAGTTATTGAGAGTTGCATGTACTAAATATTTGATTATTAGAATAAACCAAATTATTTGTTGTATCTATATTCTATATATAGTATTTATATCATAACTTTTTAAATTTTCAAGTTCCACATTTTTATAATAGTGATACTATGTCTGCCCGTGACCACAGCTGGTGCAACTCAGTCAAAACGAATATGGCATTTTGCCACTTACGAATTCACGCGTTTAAGTCTCGCAGTATCACTGTTACAAGGATTTATATTAATTATAAGTTTCTAGTAACATACCCTCCACTCAGCCAAAGCTTGGGTGCATCTCTAGGTGCCTAACAGTAGCCTACCCATGTACTAAATTTCATTCAAATCAATCCAGCCATTTCAACGTGTAGGAGAAACAAACATACTAACATATTTTTGCATGTATATATTTTAGTAGTCCAATTATTATACTTTTATACCTGTTAAATGTATGTTATATTTAATTATTAATGAATAAATAATTTAAACAGAAACACCGGGGCATGCCAGTGGCTGGGCCGAAACACCGCGTACTGACCGCGGCGTAGGCGTCGATACCATCCAAGAGACGCCCACGCCGGGCACGAAGCGGCGCTCGCGCTGGGACGAGACGCCGGGCGCCACGCCCGCCGCCGCCACGCCCACGCCCTCGCACGCGACGCCCTCGCACGCTACCCCCTCGCACGCCACGCCCTCGCACGCCACACCAACGCCTCACACTCCCATCTTTACGCCTGGTGGGGTGAGTGTTTAAACTATTTTCTTTTTTATTTAAAGTTAAGTCAATGTGTAGTAATTTGTTTTAACATATTTTAAAAATTCACAAAATTTACTGTCATCTCGACTCTGCTTATTATGGAATATTATGTAATATATAAATGTTATATACTTAAATTGTTTGCATAAAAAGCTTAAAAACCCTGAACTATATATGTATTTTATTTTTATATGTTTGATTTTTAACTGTATAATTTTCAATATTTTGTCTCCCCGGACGTAGGTTAATATATATAATTTCTTTCCATGTTCAGTCTACACCGGTTGGCGTGAAGGCAATGGCGATGGCTACACCCACACCAGGTCACATCGCCGCTATGACGCCAGAGCAGCTGCAAGCTTACCGTTGGGAAAAAGAAATAGACGAGCGCAACAGACCCTACACAGATGAAGAGCTCGATGCCATGTTCCCACCTGGGTACAAGGTTTTGCCTCCGCCGGCCGGTAAGTACACTTCTATTTGAGTTACATTGTTTTTTTTTTATCCAAAATTCAATATTCATTCATAATAATGATATGAGGTACAGGTAAACACTTAGTAATTAATCACAACTTTAGTTTCAGGACACATGTATTTAATGCCAACATCTGTCTCATGGATATGAGTCGACGTAAAATCATCGATAGTGATACATGTGTTGCAAATTTACTTACCAGAATCAAAATTAATAATAAAGAATTTTTCTTTCAGATGAATGATGACATAAGGCTTTACAGTCATGCCGTCGGATAGACATCCAGATTTTGCTTTAATACCTCAGTTGCAGTTTTCTTTATTTTGTATGCATGATTAAGAATAAATATATGACGCTCTGGCTATCCGACGGCAGACGAGTCTAACGCTCGATATTGTTGCCCAGGTTATGTTCCGATCCGGACCCCGGCTCGTAAGCTGACCGCAACGCCCACGCCTTTGGCGGGTACCCCAATCGGCTTTTTCATGCAGACGGAGGAAGTGGGGGGGTCCGCGGCGGCGGCGGCGCGCCTGCTCGACCCGCAGCCCAAGGGCGCACAGCAGCTGCCCTTTATGAAGCCCGAGGACGCGCAGTACTTCGACAAACTGCTCATCGACGTAGACGAGGAATCCCTCTCGCCAGAGGAGCTTAAAGAGAGAAAAATTATGAAGCTGCTTTTGAAGATTAAAGTGAGTTGTATCTTTGTAAATTTAAGAAGTTAAATATGGTTCCAGATTTATTATACTAAAAAATAAAGCAAGAGGCATCTGCTGTCCTAATGAGAAAAAAAAAATCTGTATGATATAAGAAAAAAATTGTGATAAGCAAAGGTTAAAGACGTTAGTTTAATTTAATTGTAATTGGTTAAATAGTAATGTGTTAAATTTAATTTGATATCTTCCTTTAATGTTTGTAGAATGGTACCCCTCCAATGTGCAAAGCTGCCCTTCGACAAATCACAGACAAGGCGCGTGACTTCGGCGCCGGCCCGCTGTTCAATCAGATTCTACCACTCCTCATGAGTCCCACTCTCGAGGACCAAGAGCGCCACTTGCTCGTCAAAGTAATTGACAGAATTCTTTATAAATTAGATGACTTGGTTCGTCCATATGTACACAAAGTAAGTTATCACCTTACCTTATTCATCCCACAATATTAAATGAACAATCATAATGATAAAATAATTTAAAATGTACGCTTTTTTTAGATTCTTGTCGTAATAGAACCCTTACTGATCGACGAAGATTACTATGCTCGAGTTGAAGGTCGTGAAATAATTTCTAATCTAGCCAAAGCTGCTGGCTTGGCCACTATGATCTCTACGATGAGACCCGATATCGATAATATTGATGAATACGTGCGTAACACCACCGCAAGAGCGTTCGCCGTTGTCGCATCCGCTTTGGGTAAACCTTTTTTTTTAATTATTATTTATTGTAAACTAGCAGTACTCGCACCCACTAGGCTAATCTGAAGATTGCCTGAAAATTTCATCAAAATCGCTGCAGCCATTTTGGAGTCCATACACACATAGATTTTTATTTTTTATATATATATAGATTATCTAGTAATTATTATATTATTTTAATTTTTTCGACTGCCTCGGTGGTGCCTCGGTGGTTGGAGGTCCTGGGTTCGAGTCCCGGGTCGGGCCAAGTTTAGTTATTGAGTCTTTCTGTATAGTAAGTCTCAGTAACAGCCCGGAGTTGGGAAGTTGGCGGTGTGTCACCCCCGTGCCTCAGAGAGCACGTAAAGCCGTCGGTCCTGCGCCTTAACTCTCACTGGTCGTGTCGAGCAGTCGTCCCACCGGAGTAATGAGAGTGACAGGAATAGAGCGTGCACGTTGTGTCTGCGCGTACACTTGTGCACTATAATATCTCCTGCGCTGTTGGCTAATCTCAATGAGATTGGCCGCCGTGGCCGGAATCGGCTAGGAGAACATCATCATATTATTTTAAAATATAATTTATGTTTCAGGTATCCCATCACTACTACCGTTTTTGAAGGCCGTGTGTAGATCAAAGAAATCTTGGCAAGCCCGGCATACTGGTATCAAAATTGTACAGCAAATCGCTATATTGATGGGTTGTGCTATATTACCACATCTTAAATCGCTTGTGGAAATTATTGAACATGGTATGTTTGTAAATTTTTATTTATTTTCTATTTATAAATTGATATGAAATATGATCTTTTATATATATATATATATTTTAGAATTTGCAGCTCATAATAAACCTTTTTTCAAAAAAATTTTAATCATATTCTATAATAAATATCAATTTATAATACAGGCTTAGTAGACGAGCAACAGAAAGTGCGAACTATAACGGCCCTAGCGAGCGCAGCGTTGGCCGAAGCCGCCACGCCGTACGGTATCGAGTCCTTCGACTCCGTGCTGAAGCCCCTGTGGAAGGGCATTCGCACCCATCGCGGCAAAGGCCTGGCCGCTTTCCTTAAGGCCATCGGCTATCTCATCCCGCTCATGGACGCCGAGTATGCGAACTACTACACGCGTGAGGTGATGCTCATCTTGATAAGAGAGTTCCAGTCGCCTGATGAGGAAATGAAGAAGATTGTATTGAAGGTGGGTAGTTAATGTCATTATACAATATTTTTATAATCATGAGTGGTTATGAGGTACATTGTTTTTACGATATTTTTTTGTGGTCGGAAAGAGAGAGAGGGGAAAGAAAGAGAAAAACATCATAAAGGATTTTTTTTTATAAAAGTAAATATGTCTGTTGCAAGGTTCATTTGTTCATAACTTGAAAGGAATTTTCTCCTCCTTAGTGAAGTCATTAATTCAAGCAAAGTAAGAAAAATTACATAAAGAAAACACCTGTGATTTTCTTAACATTGAGAATATTTGTCATTTTATTCTTCTGTGCAGGTGGTGAAACAATGTTGCGGAACTGATGGTGTAGAGCCCCAATATATTATGGATGAAATTCTACCACACTTTTTCAAACATTTTTGGAACCACCGAATGGCTCTAGATCGTCGCAATTACAGACAGCTTGTAGACACAACTGTTGAAATCGCTAACAAGGTTTGTAATCGTATATTAGTATACTAGCGACTCAACCTCGCTTGGCTCAGGTTCGTTCCTAGATCCCCCCCCAACGTGCGTTCACCTTGTCGTGGTGGGGGGGCTCAGTAGTGTACTCGCGAAGCCAAGAAACGCACAGGGAGGTGGCCCGCTTCGGTGGGCGGTGGGAGGCGGCCTTTTTCGGAGGGAGGGGTACCATGCGGGTTGCTCCTGGTACTTCTCTGATAGCAGAGTGGACCGTGGAGTAACCCCATGGTTGTTGTGGTCTGCTTCGGCAGACCTGCCGTCGGGGCGTCGTAGTTGAATGCGTAAGCGATCCTGCGACGCCCCATTAAGACGGGGGAAGGTTTTGTTGGGTTTTAGTGGGTAGTACTGGCTTCGCTGGTGAGTCCCACACTTCGTGCGTAAATGCATTTCCCAACGTTAAAAAAAAAAAGGTTCGTTCCTAGATACGTTTGGACGCGTATGGAATAGATTTTTTTGAATTTTATTTTTCGTGAATTTTTCCGATGTTTTAATAGTTATTCTGCTATTCGAATTGACGATATATCCAACAAAACAAACATCATAAAAATCGGTCCAGCAGTTCTCGGGTTGTAAGTATTGTGTAACAAACTCGACTTTTATATAAACAGTCATACTAATGATATTTTAATATGATATAATAAATTAATATTTTTATTCATTTTATTAGGTTGGTGCTTCAGAAATTATTAACCGAATTGTAGACGATCTAAAGGATGACAATGAACAATATAGAAAAATGGTGATGGAATCTATCGAGAAGATTCTAGCTAATTTAGGCGCAGCTGACATTGACTCAAAACTTGAAGAGGCCCTAATTGACGGCATACTGTATGCATTCCAAGAACAAACAACAGAGGTAATATAATTCAGAATTTTAGTTACATACATGAATTTTATATACTTATAATTTAATACTTTGAAATTTTAAATAAAACCATCTTTTCGGATTTTTTCGCGGATTTATTTCGATTTTTGGTTCTCGACGTTTACAGCAATCATGGTTACGAGCGACACTTATAATTTACATAATTTGTTATAGTTTACATTTACAAAAGCAAGTCTTTGCCCAAAGTTAAACTTATTTAATATATTCTACTCATAAACTAGTTAATCCCTCTACGACCGCAGACACGCCGGCGTTACAATTAACAATAGATTTCTGAGAAATTTAATAATATCATAATTTGAATTAAATTAACAACATAATATATGACAGTAAAATTTTATACTTAAAGCCACTTCCAGTATTCTTATTCCGAGTTCTAATCCATAAAATAGTTTGTTTTACCCGCAAAATATATTTTATTTTTTATATAAATAATAGCTGCCCGTTTACAATGTTACCTACATAAAACTAATGTTTCTCAGTAAGTGAATTGTATTCTTTTGAGAAATAAATGAATTTTAAAACTCAAATTTACCTGGAGATGTTATCAGTGTAATTAGGAATAATAGTGAGAATTTGTTGAGCAGGACGTGGTGATGCTGAATGGCTTCGGCACGATCGTGAACCAGCTTGGCAAGCGCGTGAAGCCGTACCTGCCGCAGATCTGCGGCATCATCCTATGGCGCATGAACAACAAGTCGGCCAAGGTGCGCCAGCAGGCCGCCGACCTCATCTCTCGCATCGCCGTCGTCATGAAAACCTGCCAAGAGGTTGTTATTTATATTTTATTAAATACTAGCTTGCTTCCCAACACAAACTTTCATCCCCATTTTTAACCCCTTAAAGGATGATTTCCGGGTTAAAAAGTATGTCCTTCCCAGGGTCTAAAACTATCTTTATCAAATTTCATCTAAATCGGTTCAGTAGATTCAGAGATTAGCCCCTACAACGTCACAAACTCACAAACTTTACCTCTTTTTATTATTAGTATAGATAGATATAAATCAGGGTATGAAATTATCAAAATAAATATATCTTTCGATAATTATCACGATACTTATCAAGATAATTATCAAACAGATATAAACTTAGCAATCCTTGTGTAGGTATTGGTATTTGACTATTTGAGTCTGGCCGCCAAAAATTGTACATTATCATTCGTGAATTAGTAACACTCAGTAACATACGTGAATGAATGTAACACATGTGAACTTTGTTAAGCATAGTGCACATTTTGTAGTATGTGTGTCACATACCACAATATCAAGTTGAATTATTGTCGAAATAATACAAAGAGTTCAAATACACTTTAATGATGTCTTTACCTTAATAAAACAGAGTCTACCAAAAATTATTTATTTTGGAATGTAATACTTATTAAAAAAAACTAAGATGCTGATTGGCTTCACAATTATAGACGCTGAATTTTCATTGGTTTTTGAGCCGAAGCTTTGGTGTTCTACCCACCATCATTCTAAACATCCTTCTCTATGGGACCAACTCTGTACAATAAAAATACTAGCTGATCCAGACAAAAGCTCAATTGTATAATACCTACTCAGTCGAAATTTAGACCAAGTAGGTGTTGAACTTTTGTATGGAACAGCTTTTATTTTTTCACTGTACGAAGTTAGTCCTATAGTAAAACTTGTTCAGAATAATGGGAAAAAAAAACCAGAGCTTCGACTCAAAAACCAATGAAAATTCAGCGTCTGAGTACCGTTTATGTATTTTACCTACCTAAATTACACAAAATAAAAATGACATCGTAAAAAATCACAGTAGCCAAAAAGTTTTTAGTTCGAAAAAGCAACAGCTGTTTTTTTCTTAAATTACAGAATTAGTAAACATCGTGCTTTCATTTATTAATTATTCTTAAACAATATAATCAGACTTAACATTATACCGAACAATGCAATTTTACGGCTATGTGAACTTGGCACCCGACTTTGGAAAAATTGTTCTTTTTTAGGTTTATTTGAACGATTTCGGTTAGTAGTAGATAGTAGAGAAGCTAAATTCGTTTGTAGTAGTGCAAAAAAAAAATGCAGACAACAAAAAAAATGTCATCCCCCGAAGTTAGTAAAAAAATTTTTCAGTAGTGGTTTGTAGTGCAATTTTTTTCGTTTGTAGTAAAACAAAAAAAAAATTTTTTTCGAGTATTTTTGTAGAACGATTTTTACTACATACATTCATTGTTTCGTTTGTAGTACCATTATTTCATTTGTAGTAACGTTAATTTTGGTTTGTAGTGCCATTACTTCGTTTGAAGTAACGTTAATTTCGTTTGCAGTACCATTATTTCGTTTGTAGCTGTTTTTAGTAACCTTAATTTCGTTTGTAGTACCATTATTTCGTTTGTAGTTGTTTGTAGTGACATTAATTTCGTTTGTAGTACCATTATTTCGTTTGTAGCTGTTTGTAGTAACCTTAATTTCGTTTGTAGTACCATTATTTCGTTTGTAGTTGTTTGTAGTAACGTTAATTTCGTTTGTAGTACCATTATTTCATTTGTAGTTGTTTGTAGTAACGTTAATTTCGTTTGTAGTACCATTATTTCATTTGTAGTTGTTTGTAGTAACGTTAATTTTGTTTGTAGTATCATTATTTCGTTTGTAGTTGTTTGTAGTAACGTTAATTTCGTTTGTAGTACCATTATTTCTATCTACACACAGAGAGATTAAAATAATATTGTAAAATTACATTCTTACCGTGCGTTTTCTTACATAAAAACATTAAAAACTCCCGAGACAAAAGTGCCGGCCACTTTAATCTTCATTTTCGCAGAAAACAAAATGGCGATTTTTGTCTACAGGGTCGTGAAGTATCATTCGGGAACAAAAATCGAGACACATACTTTAAAATTTGTTTTACAATAAGTTTTACGTAACTTGTTATTAAAAATCACTACAACTTATAAAACTAACTGAACAATTTAGCAATGCTAAAAATTAACACTTTATTAGGCATTTTAGCATATTTTTTTGATTTCGAATTATATGATGTTGTAGTGGGACACGAGATTTTTGTATGGATGCCAAGATTACCCTCTTAGAAAAAAAAATTAAAAACATCTGTTAAAGGAAACCGAAATTAATTAAATTTTTCCATAAGTATAAACGTGAAAATGTGTACCTGAAACTATTTACAACATAACATTAAATGAAGTAGTATATGAAAATATTTTATTTTGTTTGAGAGAGTCACTGATTTTTTTCTATATGTACAATTTTTGGCGGCCATACTCATTTGCGTATCATAATTTACGTTAGAATAAATTATACCCTTTTAACAATCAAGGTAATCTTTTATTATTTTTTCATTATTTTGACATATACAAACTTGGAAATAAAAACAGAATAAATTTAACCAACTATATAGACACTATTTAATTAAATTAACATGACACGCGGATGATACGCGAATGACACGTTCTAGTGGGCATAGTAGTCGGTGTCGCTTATTTCCGAGCCTGATACGTTCATAGTACGGTCATGGTATGAGACGGTGTAGTGGGCAGACTCCTTAATGTGTGGAATATCATCCTCATGCTCCTCAACTGCATAACTCAGTTTGCTGATTGAGTTTTTTGAGCTGATTGAGAGAGTTCAGTTAGTTGATCGACAATTTGAAGAGTTACAAATTAAATATTTTCAATTATATTTATCAAAGATAATTAATTATCAACCCATATTTATCATGATAATTATCGTGATAATTATCAATGATAATTATCGTTTCGAACCCTGATATAAATATAATAAGGTATCTTGCATTTAATACATCTGAATCTCTTAAATTGATATTAATATGATTGAATTGATATTATTATAATTAAAAGTTGTGTGAATATACATACAAGTTTATGTATGAGTGTATTACTTATCTATATAATTTTATTCTAGGAAAAACTTATGGGCCATCTTGGTGTAGTTCTTTACGAATATCTTGGAGAAGAATATCCAGAAGTGCTCGGGTCAATTTTAGGAGCGTTAAAAGCTATTGTCAACGTTATCGGTATGACAAAGATGACTCCACCCATTAAAGATCTCCTTCCCAGATTGACACCTATCTTGAAAAACAGGTATTTTAGAAGAATTTTTACATGTTTTATATAAATAAAATGTTTGTCTAAGCTAAAACACCATTTATGGCCACAACGAATAACCTATCTTTCACATATTTAGGCTCACAAAAGATCACATTTATCTAATTAGTTTATTCTTTACAGACATGAAAAAGTGCAAGAAAATTGCATTGATCTAGTAGGACGTATTGCAGACAGAGGTCCGGAATTCGTTTCAGCGAGAGAGTGGATGAGAATATGCTTTGAATTGTTGGAGCTGCTCAAGGCACACAAGAAGGCCATCCGACGGGCGACAGTCAACACGTTCGGCTACATCGCCAAGGCCATCGGGCCGCACGACGTGCTGGCCACACTGCTCAACAATTTGAAGGTGCAGGAGAGGCAAAACAGGTGAGTTGCAGCTGCAGCCTTTATACCAACAGAGTGATCCACACAATGTTTAATAAAATTAAAAACTTAAAAACCTTTTTCATTTAATTTAATTAAAATATTGTACTTTTCAGCCAATGCTTTAAGTTGTGTGTTGCCTGTTAGTGAATGAATTTATTGAAAGCAAATCTATACTAATATTATAAAGAGAAAAGATTTGTTTGTTTGTACTGAATAGGCTCCGAAACTACTGGACCGTTTTAGATGAAATTTGAATATGTATATAACACAGAATAGTTTTATCCCGGAATTCATCCCTTAAGGAGGTGAAAATGGGGATGAAATTTTGTATGGAGAATCAACCTAGGGACAAACCCGAGTGAAGTGTGGGTGAGTCGCTAGTACATAATAAAAACGTCTATTTTGGAAATAAAACCCTAATTTATAATGTTTATGCTTGTTTCAGAGTATGCACGACAGTCGCCATTGCTATAGTGGCGGAGACGTGTTCTCCCTTCACTGTACTCCCCGCGCTTATGAATGAGTACAGAGTGCCGGAGTTGAATGTACAGAATGGTGTGCTCAAGTCCTTATCTTTCTTGTTTGAGTACATCGGAGAAATGGGCAAGGACTATATTTATGCTGTGTGTCCATTGCTTGAGGATGCTTTAATGGACAGGTAAAAATTAGTTATTTCACCACATAGTACTTTTTTAGGAAATAATGCTAGTAATATTAAAAAAGCTTAGCAGTTATATTCAAGCTTTAAGTGTAAAGTTATAAAACTGAAGTTACAAGTAAAACGATCATGCATTCTTCTTTAACAGCCATTCCCTGTTACCTTAGATAGGTTACTGGGAACTGGGATCTATCTGTGATTTTCCTTACTAGCATTAAGAGTTCGATATAATTAGTAAGGAGCTTATTTTTTAGTTAGTAAAAATAATAAAAATATTATATTCATTTCTTTATATGAACACAGAGATCTCGTACATCGGCAAACTGCGTGCGCGGCGATAAAGCACATGGCGCTGGGCGTGTACGGGTTCGGGTGCGAGGATGCGCTCGTGCACCTCCTCAACCACGTGTGGCCCAACATCTTCGAGACCTCGCCGCATCTAGTGCAGGCCTTCATGGATGCCGTGGAGGGCATGCGCGTCGCACTCGGACCCATCAAGATACTGCAATACGCTCTGCAGGTCGTTATGGAGTTTTTTTCTTATTTCTATTTATTTTAACAAGGGAAAACAGTAAAAACGGTCAAAAATAATAAAATCAAAACATATTTTCTTTTAGAACAAATGTTGCTTTTGAAGAAGTTCACAACTCATTATGTATATATTTTGTACTTTAAATTTTTTACTTCAGTATTTATTTAAATATATGTATATAATATATATACATATATTTCTATTACCTTAAAAGGTTATTTTATTTTAAAAATTATATATCTGGTACAATAATTGTGTGATCCTCTAAAATATTTAGCTCAAGTGATTCGCTAGTTCTGTCTTGTTTGTCTTGTCTCACTCAATAGCTTTCAATATACACTGTAACAGTATAAAGTTAAATAGATGCTAACTTCAAAAAAGTTTATTTCCAAAAATCTTTTTTCTGTAAAATGTTTGACTTTGCACCATGCCATCTTTTTGGAACACGTGACAATTTATATACATATTTATAATATGTATGTATTTAAAGTTATATATATTTAGTGTGGTATCCATAAAACAAGCCTCCACGCTTACCATGGAACTAGATGGTGCTGTGTATGAATGTCCCAACATATTTATTTATTATAAATTGCAAATTATTTTATAAAATGTCAATAATTTATACTTTACTAAGCCACAAACATTTTGTATTTAAATTATATAGTTTCTATGTTTGTTTTTACAGGGCTTGTTCCATCCAGCAAGGAAAGTCCGCGATGTGTATTGGAAGATTTACAACACTCTATACATTGGAGGTCAGGATGCACTCGTGGCCGGATATCCGCGGATACAAAATGACCCTAACAATCACTTTATAAGATATGAATTAGATTATTTGTTGTAAGTCGTTAATAAATATATGTACGTGCGTGACTGTGTTTATTCGTTTTCTTTATCTATTATTACCCTACCGTTGTCCTTTCATATAATATATTTAAACGAGCAATTCTTGTGTGTGTATATATACATATAAATATGGTATGTATGGTATAACCATTTAATGTGTATCTACCAACGTATATTGTATATACAGGAAATTTCTCGAAAATGATTAAAGGAGTGGACTCGAGCTCAGTTTTTATTGCGTATGTTTTTATGGCGTATATTATATGCCGTGGGTCACGATTGTGTCACTCGTATGAAGTATAACAATTTCGGTGTAGTAGGTACAACCGAGTGTACACAAACTTTTGTCTCAATGAGGCTCTAAAGCTAAACGAAAAATTCGAAGAAATGTATAAAATAAAATCACTGAATGTACAATATCATTTATTTTATTATTAGATCAAGAGAAGTAATATTTGGTAATGCGATTTAATAGTGTTTTAACGAAGAAACATAGGTACAAAGGAACTTTTAAATAATTTATTTTAATGACTAGATTAATTCAATAATAATTCGCATTTTTATCATTAAACTATGTTTTTCGTAATATAAAAAAATAAAAAGTATAAATAATGAGCATCTTACCTATATAGGGAATATACGGCTTACAGTTAATACTAAAAGTTAACTTTGGAATTCAAAAATATCACTAAAAATGTCTAAAAAGTAAATTGTCTTTATCAAAACTAAGGGAATGTTTCATAAAATAAATACCTAATATCTATATGAATAAAAACTCCACGGATAGAAGAAAAAATCTAACTGGGCAATTATAATACAATTCATACATTAATACGCGGTCGAACATAAAAAGCCAAGCGCAAGTCTCAAACAAAACTTCGCGAAACATTATCATCGCATCGACCAAACCTGTTAACGTGTAAATATAAAATACATCGCTAAAACATGATCTTATGCATAAAATTCTTTTTGTTGCGTTCTAAGACAGCTTTATATTTTAACGTGATAAAATATAAAATAATTATTTTTATTACATGAGAACTACGTGCCTGCCTCATTTCCCAGTCTTCGTATATAGTAGCATCTACACAGCTGCACAATGGTAAGCGCTTAGCGATGTGACATCAATGCGGTGTTTAATCGCGTATTTGTTTAAATATCATATTTAATAACTCACAGTCTACTGATCCATACAAGTTGTTTAACGAGGGCGTCTAAACTGGACAATCGTTCAGGGCGTGCTTAGTTGGGGGCAGAGCCCCCAACTAACAACACGTACCTATATATACATAACACTCGGGAGATTGTTTTAGGGTTTGCGGATATAACTGTAACTTACTACGAAATGGCACTAGTTATACCTACTTCGTAACCGTTCGCAAAAATTTCTGATACGCCCGCATTTAGTGGAATTTCTGTTAAGATCAGAGAACTACTGTATGGATTTAAATACTATGGTATAATTAGGAGCAAGCTCTAGCTGTGACGTGTACGAGCGGGCCGCAGTGCACGGGCTGCCACGCGATGCCGGCCACGTTGTCGACAGTCACGCCGAGGCGCCGGTGCAGACTGCCGTCGCCTCTCACTGCCCACACTTCTTGTTCAATACATGACACGTGCTTAAATGGTATCTCACAATCTGTTTAAACAGAAATAATATTCAATAATCATATAAATCATGTTGTTATATCATTACATATTATATCCATGCGCACGATGACTTTACGGCGCTTCTGATAAACGTGGTGTGCATAGAATCTAAATATACATCTTAAATTATATACCTGTTAAATATTTCCATTGTTTTCCTTCATGTAAATTCTTAGAAACATCCGTTCTTACAGCAACTATACCGTTGGTGAGTATAACCCAAGCAGCATTTTGCGTGAGCGACACCAATTTAGCACTGACACCACCCTTTTGCGTCATTGGAAAAGTGCATTTCGGTGCTTCAATAAGTTTCCAATTTGAGCCACTAGGATTTTCTTTGGTTACTCCTTCTCTATAATACAATTCGCCCTTCCGCCCTACAGCCCATATCAAATTACTGTAAATGCTTATCGCAACAAGTGAATGAGGGCTATTTATGTGCTCCCAGTGTAAACCCTGAAATATAATTTCGAAATTAGACTACCTTGAGTCACATATTATTATATTTATTACTACTTATAACATTTTACAAAATATTTGTACCCCTGGGGAGTTAACTGTTACTCCAGTTCTATAAATCGCGTCTCCACCTAACGTAATAGCCCATACTGAAACTTCTTTATCATCCGCCTAAAAAATGAAGTATGTCTTTAATATTTTTCATTATATATTTAAAAAATCATATTATAATTAAAGTGAAAAACCACTGACCCATAACGATATATCGAGTAGAGCTGTACTGCCCGCACGCACCCATGGACCTTCGGTTATAATTTGAGCCTTCCTGTACCACCGACGACGACGTACACAATCTGTAAACACTTTCTTTCCATGATATGGAGCTGGGAAATCTGTAGCGTACTGCCAACCTTCACTATCCACTCCACCTGGGGTATTGTAGTCAACCATCCACTCCGAGATCTGAGACATACACAAAAAGTATAATTAATATGAACATAAAAAAAGTGAAAACAATTGAATAGTTGGTAATATTGCTAAAAATTGTGAATTGACCTGAAACTGAATTTTTTTGATTATATTTTTTGATGATTAGAAGTTTTGACTAAAACACTGTTTATAAATCTTAAAACTCGTTTTTTAATAATCGCCTATTTTTAACTTCTATTGGTATTATCAGAGTCAATCGGAAGTCAACAGTATTAATTTAATCAGCTCATTCAACGTAAATACGACTGTAAATAAAAACTTAAAAAAAACCGACTTCCAGGCACTAAAATGTAAAAAATAACTAAACGGGGGTTTTCATTTAGAATAGATACCTAATTAGATATTTTCGAAGTCGGTGCCAGCCGACGCTTAGGAAATCTAATATATTTTGATACGTAAAATACGTATATACCTATTAGATATTCATATCTTAAAATATTGTCCGCTGGCACCGACTTCGAAAATATCTGATTAGGTATCTATTGTAAATGAAAACCCCCGTTTAGTTATTTTTTACATTTTAGTGCCTGGAAGTCGGTTTTTTTTAAGTTTTTATTTTTATATTTTTAGTGTAGACGTAATAAGCAGGTAATTTGTAGGAAGAAAGTTTTTAATAACATATTCGATTAAAGAATTTGTTTAAAAAAAAATCCAAATCGGTTCAGGCGTCTTCGAGTAATCGGTGAACATACATAAAAAAAAGATTCCGACGAATTGAGAACCTCCTCGTTTTTGGAAGTCGGTTAAAAAACGAGCGCGACTTACAGTAAGCGCTGATGTGTGATTGTTTTACTCTAATTAGACTATATAACTTAAATTTGCTATTGGATTTATTGTAATCTAATTAGACGGAGAAAAGTAAGTTTAAAGATAATTTTAAATGTTGTTAGAATTTTTGTATACCTAGGTGATTACGTAAGTTGAAAATGAGATTTTTTGTTTGTAGATAGGTTTAGGTCTAGAAGTAATATTTCAATTGGAATTCGATAACTCGTTAAGAAGATATTTGCAAAATTGTATAAGAGAAATGTGATGAAAGAGTCTGTATTATTTAATGTTTATGTTCTATAAACTTTTTAGTCATTGTAGTTATATAAATATTGTTGTTTTTTATAAGAAAGGGATACATAAGGGAATAACTGTGAAAAACATAATAAGGTTTAGATTTTAGAGTTTAGGTGTACAATTCTATCAGTCGGGCTCCAGCTCTCAACAGAGCAACAACAAGGAATAAAAATGTAGAATAAATAGTAGAAGAAATCTGGAAGAATCGTTTTCTTTCAACCTTTCATAATTCAGCCCACCATAGAAATTATCCGTGTAATTTATTAATTTGTTTTCTTTTTAATCAAAATTAAAAATATCAATTGAGAAGCGACAGAAATTAACCTCAAAATTAAATGTATGTATGTACTTATGTACGCACGTAAGAACTTATACTTCTTTGTTTTTATATAGCATTTAAATAAAAGCTTGCATAAAAGCTTCTTTTAATTTTAAAACTTTTTTTAATATTTTTTACTTTTGTTTTCGTATTCTTCTCAGCAAACCCTATCATTTGATATATCTATATCATGGGGGGTGCATAAAAAACAGTCCGCCATATTGGATTTACATAGAATGACGTCACTTTGCATATCGTGTTTTGCTCATCAGGCCCTTTTATTCGATATCCACATCATAGAAGTGCGTAAAAAAAAAAAGCGCGCGCTTCCCCGCCTTCCTGTTACGCACTTCCCTTTTCACGAAATAACTCCCACAGACTGCAGGAAAGCGAGAGAAAAGATGTTACAAATCAAAAACTTAAAAAAATATTGATTTCAGTCAAAACCACTTACAAGCTACAAAATATATGAAAAATATAATATAATAGTAAGTATCTTTTAAAAAATATTAAAATTCAAACTACTAATAAATGCTAAAGTTTGTGTCTGTGTATTTGTTACTCCTTCACACTGAAACGGTTGGACGAATTTAGATGAAATTTAGTACACAGACATGACCTAGAGTAACACAGGCCATACGAAAATAAGACAGACAGCAGGTTTAGTCTCTAGTGTTTAAATATTTTCTTACCCAATGCCAATGTCGGCTAAGTAGTTTTGTATGTTCTCTTGTTCTTTTATGTTTGCCAGTTATATCGCTCCACATATATCTATCAGTTGGAAGGCCAGTGGAAGTATATCCAGATAAAGGATTCCATCGTTGATTTTCATAGATACAATAAGTTTGAGTATCACTCATTGAATGAATGCCTTCATTACCACCAATCCCTATTAAAATTGTCATTGTTAATAAAACAACAAAATTAATTAAACTGAGTTTAAATACAGGTAAGTTAATTTTACCTTTAAGTACTCCACCACCCCAGCCTCCAGTGTAAACCCATACCCTATGATCATGTGTTATTCCCCAAACTACTCCATTTTGGCAACTTTCAACTTTTCGTAAATGTCCTCCCATCATTCGCCAAATCATTTCATCAGGTCCAATAATAGCATTAGTTGAACTATAATCCAATGTATATAATTTTAAAGGACCCAATATCAAAACAGATGTTATACTTTCAGGATTTAATCTATGTTTAAAGGAGCAAAAGTGTGTATTATTGACATGGATAATGAATCCAAGGTTATCACATATTATTTTAATTGAAAATTCTTGGCCTGCTTTTAAGGGAAGCATATGACGCTCCTCGGTACCCCAGTGACCTGCTTTCTTTGTATTACAAACCACTACTGATTCATCAAATCTCACATTGAAATGTAATGGCACATCTACTACTTCTTGTTCAATTTTGTGCCTTTGTTTTTGAACTTCTGGACATTGCAAATTAATATGAAATCTAGTGATCTCATCATACAAACACCCTGTCATATTTAAAACACTCCCAGGAGGATAGTTATTATCTAAAGTAGTTGTAAAACCATTTAATATATCTTTTCCAAATACTTGAAATTCTTTTGTATAACTGCCATTCTTTTCTGCATTATGTTTGGTTGGTGTGGGATCCCAATTGAGAACATCACTTGAATTAGTTATCATCCACACTGAACGATCAGATGGCTTACCCGATAAAGAGTTAATTTGTGAAGTAATATCAACAATAACATTGAGCCATTCTTCTTGTTCCATTTCAGACGAGTACTGAATTTTTATAATCTTTTGATTTTGGTGTGGGATTGTCAATGTGAGTCTAGGACAACCTGGTTCTGATGAAGTCATTATACTAGTTATTTCACCAAGATTCAATATAAATTTTATAGTCCCATCAGGCTGGAATACTGAAAGAGTGCCAGCATTTTCTGAAGCATGCCAATAAAGAGATATTATACAATCTTCACTAGAATTATTTTCACAAACTAATCTTGCTTCAGAGCTTCGAGTCCAACCTTTTTCTTCAATAGCTAATCCAAAATTAGTGAGATCAATATTTAAGCTATTTCTAGCTTTTAAACAATCTAGTATATCGAACCTCCATTTAGCTGTAATATCAGAATTGTGACCATTTTTAGAATCTGTGAACCAATGGGGTACTTGAACACTGTCAATAGAACAAGCACCAGCTTCTATAAATGTCCATGTAGCATCACATGTACCCCAAGCTGTTTGGCTGACCTCCTCGTCGAAATACATTCCAGAATCAACATCGAATACACTACTGTCACTATCAGGTTGAGCTTCCATACCAACAACTGAGCCAACACTTCTTACTGGACTCCAAGCTCTTGGATTTTTTAATGTGGTTTCATAACTTTTTCCAGATAAATCAATTGTTTCTATATTCGTATTTTTTATGGGGCGCAATTCCTTTGATGGCTTCAAAGGCAAAGTATTTTCAATAGGTGCAGAGTGTGATTCTTCCCAAGAATTGCGTAAATTAATTGTTGTTTTTAATTCTACAGTATTTTCATTTAATAAACTAAGACTATGATGTTTTGGATTAGATGTAGATGAAATTATACTAGTTGAGCTTGAAGTACGACTTAACTGCATATTTGCTTGAACTACTCTCCATCTCTTTCCAGTGAGTTCAGCTGGAGTTATTCCACTACGCCAATAAATGCTTTTATTAGTTTCACCAATAGCAAATACTTGGTCATTTATTCCTACAGAAATATGTATCATGTTACCATTAATCTCTAACCAACCAGTACCCATTGCAGAAGTTTCAGAATTACCTGCTGAACATCCTTCTATACCTTTTCTAAACCAAACCCTAGTGTCAGAACTTACAGACCAGACTGCATTGTATCCTACAGACACAACAGTTAATTTAGTTTCTGCAGGAGATTTTACTTCTAGCCATGAATCTCCAGTTGGGCAGTCTTTAGTAATACCTTTTCTTACTATTGCTCTTCCTGTCCATAGCAATGCCCATACTAGTCCTGTGGGGCCAACAGAAATTTGCTTTATATCACAGTTAGGTGGAATGCTTACATTGATCCATTTTAATCCTTCAGGGGATGTAGTACTAACACCAGCTCTATACATAACTCGACCATGGGCTGTAATAGCCCAAACTGATAAAGTGCCAGCGGCAGCATAAGGTATTTGATATCCACCTATACTTATATCTATAAAAGGCTCTTGAGTGGGATCTTTATGAAGTGGTGCTATAGCGCACCAAGAATTCAATGCACTAAATTTTCTGTATCTAATCCATTTTCTTCTTCTTACACATGACTTCCACTGTTTAACAGTGCCAAACTGTGCAGGGAAATCAACAGCATACGTCCAACCATCATGATCTAATGGTTGACCATCTAAAGTGAGTTCTAGCTGCCAATCTCCTTCCCATTGCCATGCCATTGAAGGTAATCTAATACAATCAATAGATCGATCTTTTGTCCCATCCTGTGATGAAAAATGATAACGATCTGTAGGCAGTAGCCTTCCACTGAAACCTTCTAATGGAAGCCATCTCTCATTTTCATAAGATTCTTCTTTTACTCTTATAGGTATTTCTAAACCGTGAACGTGTAAGTAGATCTGGCGATCTCCACCCACTGCCCATAAAAAATGAGGCACAGCTGATAGTGTTTTAAACTCTAATCCAAGATACATAAACTCTCTCCAACATGATCCACTTGTTGATAGAGCATAGACTTTGCCTTCGTTATTTATCGAAAACAATAGTGAATTGCTGCTCATTTTCGCTTCGAATAAGGCGTTCACAAAAAATTAGATAAATTTAATAAACTATGCATTACTAATAAAATTGGAAAATCGAAAAAAAAACTGACACATTATAACACAAATATTTATATCAACTTTCGTATATTTTGATTAAAATAACAAAGCAATCATTTATTTTTAATGTATATGTAATAAATTGTTTAAATACATTGACATCTGGTAGACGAGAAAGCTGAATATTGACAAGCGTCAAGCCGTGATGACAATTGACAAAATCAATGGGTACTTCGTAGGCATGGAACATTTCACGAGTAGCAAGTGAAAAATCACGTGAAATGCGTTATCATACGTCACACCTGCTACTGAAATTCATAGTGACTGCTACAAATCACAACTTGGTGAAATCTAGAGCTGTAGCAAACCGTATGTATTCGTTACTGAGTAACGGGTACGCTTTATATATGTAGCAATATACTCTATGGGGTACGCCATCTAGTACCGAGTACCGAAACGTTACTCACGAATGCATTTCGTTACTCGCATTTTCCGTATACATTTTCGTACTGATGTTTTTATTGATTTTTTATTCAACAAAATACAATTTTCAGTTAATACCGTTGATCAGTAAATTGGGGAGTTTATTTATTTCGAGTTGCATGATTTCGGATTCTTAGAAATATTGTTTAGAAATAATTTTAAATTAGAAACAACAATTAAATTTAGAGCACATTTTTAGTTTTTTATCCAACAAATACTTATAATTTTTACTGAATGATTATGTGTAATACGTACAGATTATGATTTAATAAATCATTCGCGCAATTGATTTTAAAATATAATATATGCATTACGACGTCACACTAACGTGAAAGATGGCGTTACTTTTCATTTTTAAATTACCTATTTTTTATTTATTATTTAATTTCAAAATTTATTCATAAAAAAATATTGTTAGTAAAGTTTTTAAAAATTATAAAGATTTATAAATAATTAAAATTTCTGGGTTCTAGATATCCTGTAACTCTCCAATTGAAATGGTTTGCTGATCGTGCATTATTCCACAGAAAACAACGCGTCGTCAAGTGTCAACGTTTATACCGTACCGAGAAAAATATATGTTGCTGATGCGTTATTTTAAGAATTCTGGGCGCTATTTTTGGATAACATAGTAGGCAAATAAGCAAGCAAACCTCTTAAGATATTGAAACAATATCTATATGGGGCAAAATAGACAAAACCATTACTGCAATTACGCCTACAGTCGACGACATAACCACCAACGCTGAGAACGAGCTAGAAATGTTTATTAATGAACCAGTGCTTCCGCGCGATTCTTCGCCATTAGTTTGGTGGAAATCTCACTCCTATATGTACCCCAATTTGGCGGAAATATTTCATGAGCACTGTCACAACGTGGTGACATCAGTGGAGTGTGAGAGAGTATTTTCAAAAGCGGGAAATTTTGCAACCCAAAAAAGAGCACGATTAAGCAGAAAACGAACAGCGGAACTTGTATTTTTAAAAAGCAATGAAGACTATTGTATATAGATATCTCATAAAAAAATCAATCATCAAAAAAATCAAAAAGCAAAAAAAATGATTATAAACAAATTAAAAAAATTAAGAAAAACAAAAAAAAGGGTATAAAATTCTTTTATAAAAATTCTTATTGTACATAAAAACAATGAACTTTTAAATACGCCAATGTAATTATGGAACTTAGCTTAATACAATTTTACCGTGTGATTACTCTGATATATTTAAAATTCATTTAATTTTACATTGTCAGTCCCAAGCCTGTAGAAGTATGAGGGAAAGTTCATTGTTTGAAAATAGGTTCATTCAAAGCACCATGTACGTATGCAACTACGTCAGATCTATATCTCTGCTCCATATCACATCATTAGCGCCATTGGTGACATTTCATACTTCATTTTAATAGCAAATAATATAAAGTGTGACACCAGACCGTCGAAATCAAAAATCTATGCGTGAAAAGTAGCAGGTGAAATCACGTGAAAAATATACGTAATTTTATCACATGATAATGATTTAAAAGTAGCAATCATTTCCATGCTTAGTACTTCGACCTCGGTACTTGTACAGTACAGGATACTCAAATGTCAAAGTAGCTGGACCCTTTCAGTTTTTTAATTAAAATAAAAATATTATAATAATACATTATTACGTAGTTCATACAAATAATAAAATTATCTAATAATAATTATAATAAATAAATATTTCACGTGCTACACAGTACGTGGAATATTTATTTTTGAAACATTTCTAGTTTAAATATAACAAATTTTGGTAGATTGGTTCAGATTTCTTCTCAAATAGGCTTTAGATGCATAGCATCTAAAACTTATTTTTGTGGGCTTTAGTGTTACATAAGAGTGTTACATTTATCTATGGACTAAGATAGGTAAAAATTTTATTTGGAATTTGGTATCAAAATCAATAACATTTTTTTAAAATAATTTATATGTAATATTCTGTATTTATCTGATTTCAGATTGCTTATTTATAGGAAGATAAAAGAAAACTATCTCTGTGATGAAAAAGTACACCTTAAAATGCGTTAAATTAGGATGACGCCACGGTAGCAAGCGTGTACATTTTGAAGAAAGATTTTTTTTTAACTTTTCTGCGCCGCGGCAATCTGTTAGACACAACAATAAGCCACTGCTTTGTCTGATACTGGTATCTGTTTTGGCTTTATAGCTTGGTGAAACACTTTTCAAGTAAGTGTCTCATTCCATACTGTTGAATCTATCTTGTTGTGTTGGAACACTATGTCTCTTTAATCTTCTATGTTGAAGTCCTTGATCTCCGCTGAGTCTGAGGGCAAGCTCATTTTTGTGATTTGAGAGTCTTTTCTGGTAGTTGATGCTATATTTCGCTATCTCCTGTTTGACAGTTGGTACATTTAAGTCAAGATATATGTACTTATTACTGATGTATTGAGGGATGTTAAATATGGTCCTCAGTGTTTTGGTTTGAAATCGTTCCAGTATCTCTATGTTACTGTTGCTGGCCGTACCCCAAAGCTGTATGCCATAGGTCCATATTGGTTTCAAGATGGCTTTATATACTGCCAACTTGCTGTTTGTGCTCATTTGTGAGTTTCATCCTATTAACCAGTATATACTACGTAGTTTTAAATCTAGTTGTTTCCGCTTTGTCCATGTGTGTTTTCCATGTCAGCCTACGATCTAAGTGCATGCCCAAGTATTTAGCATTGTCGTCTTGCGGGATTTCATCGTTATTAAGGATAACCGGTGGACATGTGTCTCTCCTGAGAGTAAAGGTCACATGTGTTGATTTACTTTAATTAGCGTGTATTCGCCATATTTTAAGCCATTCTTCAATTTTATCAATGTGGTGTTGTAGATGTTCTGATGCAGTTCTGGGTTCGTGTGTGTAGAAAGTATGGCTGTGTCGGCATATGTTGCAACCGTAGTCTTTTCTACTGTTGGTATGTCAGCAGTATATATGGTGTAGAGCACTGGTCCTAGTATACTTCCCTGTGGCACTCCTGACTTGATCTCATATAGGTCGGAAAGTTTATCGTGTAACTTTACTCCAAAACATCGCTTGCTGAGATAAGACTTTATTATGTGGTAAAACGAGTGTGGTAGCATCTTTTTGACTTTGTACAATAGGCCCTCGTGCCACACTTTGTCAAAAGCCTAGCTTATATCCAAAAAGACTGCTAAACAATTTTTTTTTTCTTCTAACGATCTGCTTATAAGGTCAATGATGCGGTGAATTTGCTCGATCGTTCCGTGGTTCTCCCGGAATCCAAATTGGTGATTTGGGGTGATGTCACTTAGGTGTACTTGCATTCTTTTTAGTAACATTTTCTCGAGGAGTTTCCCTATTATAGGCAAAAGACGTATAGGTCGGTATGACGCTACTTCATTAGGTGGTTTACCGGGTTTAGGTAACATTTTTACCTGGGCTATTTTCCATTGTCCTGGGAAGTGACTAATTCTTATGCAGGCATTAAATATGTTGACAATTGCTACTATACCCTTTTTTGGCAGATTTTTTAAAAGAACGCTGTCGATTTGGTCGTATCCCGATGCTTTGCCATCCTTAAGGTGTTTTATGTCACCAGCTACTTCGGTAGGGCTCGTATATTTTAATGGGAGACACATTTGCTGAGGACTTTCCAGATAACTTTTTATTTCGCCGTTGTGCTCTGGTTTTATTTCAGGAAATGGTTGAAATACTTTGCTAAGGTGCTCAGCAAAGGTTATAGCCTTCTCCGTGTCTGATCTGGCCCAATTCCCGTTACTTTGTCTGATAGGAGGGATTTGATAATTGGGACGTTTTAATTTCTGTGTTGCCTTCCATAGTGAGTAGTTTGTGTCTAAACTTGGGGTCAAGTTAGAAAGGAAATTTTGTAGGTTATTGTTGGTAAAACTTTTAATGAGGTCTTTTAGTTCATCCGAAGATCTGTTGAACGCTGTTTTGTCTGTGGGGTATCCAGTTTCGTGCCATACTTTTCTTAGATGACGACGAAAAAGTACACCTTAAAATGCGTTAAATTAGGATGGCGCCACGCCCCCCCCCCCCAACGTGCGTTCACCTTGTCGTGGTGGGGGGGGCTCAGTAGTGCCCGGCAACCCAACCGGGCGCGAAGCCAAGAAACGCACAGGGAGGTGGCCCACTTCGGTGGGCGGTGGGAGGTGGCCCTCTTCGGAGTGCGGTGTACCATGCGGGTTGCTCCTGGTACTTCTCTGATAGCAGAGTGGACTGTGGAGCAACCCCGTGGTTGTTGTGGTCTGCTTCGGCAGACCTGCCGTCAGGGCGTCGTAGTTAAATGCGTAAGCGATCCTGCGACGCCCCATTAAGACGGGGGAAGGTTTTGTTGGGTTTTAGTGGGTAGTACTGGCTTTGCCGGTGAGTCCCACACCTCGTGCGTAAATGCATTTCCCAACGTCAAAAAAAAAAAAAGAAGGATGGCGCCACGGTAGCAAGCGTGTACATTTTGAAGAAAGTGCGAAAATATTAATAAAAGTTCACAAAAATAAATTATTCTCTACGATAATATCACCACAGTTTTTTTGGTTGTATTAACTTATTATATTGGACTACGTACATAATTTCAATAATTACTCCAATCGTCACTAATATTATTTTTTTCAATTCAGACTTCACTCCATTTAGAACTACTAAATTATAGTACGCTAGCCCCATTTAATGGGTTTTGAACTTTTATTTACCGCTTACAGGTGGACTGTTTCAATTTGTCATCCTTATAAGATAGTTCTCCTTAGTCCTTACCTCTACCCACCATACATATACATTATCCTTAGCGAGGTGTCATATATTCTTATACATACACATTTTTATTGGTCATCCATGAATCATGATACATATGTTCATGTAAAAAAAATATTGATTTTTTTTCGATATAATGTCGTATTGTTGTATCGATATTTTGCGATATATTGTATAAATATATCGATATTTTCAATATATCCTAAGTTATTTGTTTGTATTTAACTAGTCTGTAATATTAAATATTAGATATAGATCAGGTTAATATGAGTAAATACAGTTAGTGAAGAAACAAAACATTTTATTTGTTTATTAATTCCAATACTTTTTCTCTAGACCTTGCAAAAACAAAATTTTACTCTTTTGGCTTGCAGGCTGTTTCTCTGCCGAGGTAAAATAGCCGTTTTTATATATCGCTACACACACTAACTGTATTTAAATTTCGTAAACTGTATTAAACAATACAGACAACTTTTATTTACACTTTATAGGTTATTTTGTAATTTGTACTGAGAAGTGAGAACGATGAACGAAGCAGAAGTCAGAATTTAGATTCCGAAAGCCAGTGAGACTCGTACACAGACACACTACGGTCTACGAGTTACGACTACAGTCACAGATTATAAAATTTTTACTACTACTAGTCTGCCTTCACGGAGAGTAGGAGAATAGTTTTTGATTTTCGTGTCTTTGCGTTCCGTTATTGCGAAGGTTAGTTTTTCAATAATTCGGGGTTATACGTTTTATTCTTATTCAAGTTGCCATCCATAAATAAAGGAAACAATATAAAAAAATGGAATGTGCTTTTAATTTCTCTCGACATTTGATATATCGGATGAAATATATCGATACTAGATGATTCGATAATATCGGGTTGAAGCGATATATCGATATATATCGTGCACTTCTAATTCCTATATCATGTACAATTACACACATACATGCACGTACACACGGACAAATGTATACCCAGGTTATAACCTATGTAATATCCAGAGGCTTTATTGGTTGTATTTGTTTTATTCACATTTTTAAATTTCTTAAATTATCAAGTTTCTAAGCAAAGATTGGACAGCCTTTACACAATAAGTACACACTAAAGTACCAATGGATTTCTATATTATTGAGTACATAGTTCTGGATAAGTATTACACTATCTATGAACTTAATAATTGTACCTCTATTATATTTGTAAAGATGGAGTTGCAAAAAAAATTTTTATCAATAAGAATAACATTTATTTATAGATCCATAAATATAAAGTTACTTTATTGTTTTCATCTTAACTTATCATTGATATTCCTCTACTTAAATGTTTACTAATAACAATATTACAATATACAATTCGCTACGAAATAAAACATAAAAAAAATAATTTCAGAGAGAAATAATTTAGAGCTTTAGATGGTGAAAATGATATTTTATTATCTATAAAATCTCTACTTCCATGAAAAAATATTGCAAACAGTTACGCAAATATTACATGACTGCACAAACATACACAGGATGCAGATGACCATTGCACATGTACTTATTTAAATTAATATTACGCATAGAAAATGTATGCATCCTGTGTATTCTTATTATAATAAATAGAAAATTATCTATTTGTCTATATAAACAGCAATTATATTGCAATAGCTAAAACCTGTATAAAAGATAATACAAATTTGAAGATTATATCCTCTTTGTATACTTACTAGGAACTGAAATAGATACATTGTTTTTAACACAGTACAATATCACATGTGCAGATTAAAATTAATGTATAAATGTATGTATACATATATATAAATTGCTTAAAAACAAAAATAATGAATACCTTTTTTTTTAAAGTTTACAATTAGATATATGTTTCAAATGTGACCAAATAATTGAAATTTTATGCTCATATAAGTACATATAACCTTCTGCATATATAACATTTACAACAAACATTAATAATATAATACTGTTATATAGCACTAAATTAGAAAATAAATTAACTATAGCAAATAAATGTGAGATTCTCACAACTTGTGCCTTAATTCATTTAATAAATGTATGAAATACATACAGATTGTATTACCAACAAGATGTCAATATAATAATCAAACAACGCATATATCTATTATAATCACAGACAGCTATAATATTTCAAATATTATCACATTATTTTTATTTTAACACATATGCACCATTCTATATATCTTAATTTACCTTCATATTGATTGATTATTATGTCGATTATTTTAATACTGGTCAAAATACTTTCATTATATAATTTTGGACTTGCATAAGTTATTTACATTTTTAGTAACTTGGTAGGACTATGCTCTGGCATTTTATTCTTGTCTAACTCCTTCATGTATGCAAGAAAACAAGTCCATATAAGACTACATACACTTATAAATGGCACCCTATTCTTTGGAGGTATAAATATGTAATTAATCATTGCTATGGCTGGCCAAGTGGAAGCTCCTACCTGAAACAAGTTTTGGATAAAAATGATTATTTAAAATATTATCTTTCATTTTAAAAATTATCTATAATGGGGAAGTTTCTAAATTTTTTAATGTATAAATTATAAAAAATTAAGTAAAATATAACTAAAATATGTGAAAATAATTAAAATATCACAACAAATGCAAAAGTTATGAAATTTTACAGAAGCGCTTGTAAGAATAATTTGATGATGACACATGGCCTGAATGACAGAAATTTATAATAATTTCTCACTTATTGATAAGACTTAAAAAAATCACAAATTTATTAGTTTCCATTGTGTTAAATATGATATTTAACAACATCATGAAACTTCTCCATTGTTGTGTGAAGATTTTTGTTACCAAAACCTTATTTGCAAATTAAGTGATAACAGTATTTAACCAATAAATTTAAGGTTAGCCAGGATTCAGGACGCACAACAGACCAATTTATAGTTTAATTGTGGAAAATTGAGTCCACCCTATATTGACATTTACAACAGTATTTAACCACTTAATGTTTATTAACTGTATGCACCCCTTTAAAATAAACTATTATTGTTTTGCATTGCCTTATCAAAGTCTTACTAGATATTTATAGATACAATAGTTAAGATTTTTCGATTACTTCTGCTCCATTAATCATTTTGGCTGTAAAAAGTATGTAATTTTGGTGGTAATATTGATCTAAGCTTTTGTAATAGTTATTTCTTAAGAATAGCCTAGTTTCTTAATAACTATGTGCAACAATTATAATTATAAGTATTTGAAATGTACATACTTTATAGGTTGGCCAGAATTTTGATTTCACTTCTGCAACAGCTTCATCGAAAGATTTCATTTCTAGTAAGCTCATGCTGAAATAAAAACTGCACATAGCAAATGGAGTGTAGCTTATAGTTTCAAAAAATGTCTGAAAAATACCAAAGTTTAAATGAATATCAAAATATTTTCAAAAAAATTTTTTTTAGTAATAGATAAACATTTTATAAAATGATTATTCAAGGTTCTATTTGATGTTGTGTAAAAACATATAAGCTAATTAAAGTACATGCATGTAACAAAATTTTATAATTGCAATAAAAGTTTATTTACCTTGAACAATGCAGCTTTTACGGAAGTTCCAGGCCACATAATATTAGCTATAGTTAACCAACTATATAATGTGGGAGCTACATAACATGACCCATATAAACCAAAACGTGCACAACGCAACCAGTCATAATTATTGTCAGAATCTGCAAGCACAATAGGAAAAATTAATCTGTTAGCACAAAAGGAGTTTAATAAAAAAAATTCTATGTGATACATGCAATTTTCTTACCAAAACGTTTTCCTTCAAGAGTTTGTTGAATAAAACAGGAAGTGGGCCACATTATACCATATGATATCATGCCCCTAACTACAGGATACTTTTTAAAAACAGTTACAATATTTTTACTAAGAGTGGCCATTATCAGGTTATGAAAATCTTATTGCTTGCACTTTATGTAACAAAATTCCCAGGAAGTTTGCAATGGCCTTTAACTATTTTTGGTAATATATACGTCGTTACTTTTATTGATAGAGTGCCAAAAATATATAACACGTGTAAGTTTTAGTTTTGTTTTCTTTAATAAATAGTTATAATTAAATGTTAGAACCATACTGGTAATGAACGCTAACTAACTAGTACTAAATACTAATTTAATCATAGTTAAATATTTAAAATTTTCTAAACTCTAACCATTAAACCAAACATGTAATGCACTATGCAGTATGCAACTGTCAATGTCATGTTGACAAACTAAGCATAGAAATGATTGCTACTTTTAAATCATTATCATGTGATAAAATTACGTATATTTTTCACGTGATTTCACCTGCTACTTTTCACGCATAGATTTTTGATTTCGACGGTCTGGTGTCACACTTTATATTATTTGCTATTAAAATGAAGTATGAAATGTCACCAATGGCGCTAATGATGTGATATGGAGCAGAGATATAGATCTGACGTAGTTGCATACGTACATGGTGCTTTGAATGAACCTATTTTCAAACAATGAACTTTCCCTCATACTTCTACAGGCTTGGGACTGACAATGTAAAATTAAATGAATTTTAAATATATCAGAGTAATCACACGGTAAAATTGTATTAAGCTAAGTTCCATAATTACATTGGCGTATTTAAAAGTTCATTGTTTTTATGTACAATAAGAATTTTTATAAAAGAATTTTATACCCTTTTTTTTGTTTTTCTTAATTTTTTTAATTTGTTTATAATCATTTTTTTTGCTTTTTGATTTTTTTGATGATTGATTTTTTTATGAGATATCTATATACAATAGTCTTCATTGCTTTTTAAAAATACAAGTTCCGCTGTTCGTTTTCTGCTTAATCGTGCTCTTTTTTGGGTTGCAAAATTTCCCGCTTTTGAAAATACTCTCTCACACTCCACTGATGTCACCACGTTGTGACAGTGCTCATGAAATATTTCCGCCAAATTGGGGTACATATAGGAGTGAGATTTCCACCAAACTAATGGCGAAGAATCGCGCGGAAGCACTGGTTCATTAATAAACATTTCTAGCTCGTTCTCAGCGTTGGTGGTTATGTCGTCGACTGTAGGCGTAATTGCAGTAATGGTTTTGTCTATTTTGCCCCATATAGATATTGTTTCAATATCTTAAGAGGTTTGCTTGCTTATTTGCCTACTATGTTATCCAAAAATAGCGCCCAGAATTCTTAAAATAACGCATCAGCAACATATATTTTTCTCGGTACGGTATAAACGTTGACACTTGACGACGCGTTGTTTTCTGTGGAATAATGCACGATCAGCAAACCATTTCAATTGGAGAGTTACAGGATATCTAGAACCCAGAAATTTTAATTATTTATAAATCTTTATAATTTTTAAAAACTTTACTAACAATATTTTTTTATGAATAAATTTTGAAATTAAATAATAAATAAAAAATAGGTAATTTAAAAATGAAAAGTAACGCCATCTTTCACGTTAGTGTGACGTCGTAATGCATATATTATATTTTAAAATCAATTGCGCGAATGATTTATTAAATCATAATCTGTACGTATTACACATAATCATTCAGTAAAAATTATAAGTATTTGTTGGATAAAAAACTAAAAATGTGCTCTAAATTTAATTGTTGTTTCTAATTTAAAATTATTTCTAAACAATATTTCTAAGAATCCGAAATCATGCAACTCGAAATAAATAAACTCCCCAATTTACTGATCAACGGTATTAACTGAAAATTGTATTTTGTTGAATAAAAAATCAATAAAAACATCAGTACGAAAATGTATACGGAAAATGCGAGTAACGAAATGCATTCGTGAGTAACGTTTCGGTACTCGGTACTAGATGGCGTACCCGTTACTCAGTAACGAATACATACGGTTTGCTACAGCTCTAGATTTCACCAAGTTGTGATTTGTAGCAGTCACTATGAATTTCAGTAGCAGGTGTGACGTATGATAACGCATTTCACGTGATTTTTCACTTGCTACTCGTGAAATGTTCCATGCCTATGACAAACGATATATTTTTTTTATTTACATAACTTAAACTTGTGACATTGGCGAAATAATTTGTGCTCAACTGGCACGCATTAAAGCCATTATAGCAAAGAACTGAACTGAACTTAAACTTATGTCTGTCGTCTAGTGACACTGACAGCAGACAAATTGTCCCATCTTTTAAATTTTGTCTTTTGATTACTATTTATTTTTTATATAGGTACTTAGAAGTACCCATAGAGTATATTGCTACATATATATATAAGTACCTCTAGGCTCTACCTACAATCTACATTTTTGTTGTGTTCACTGTTCAGTGAACTTATTTTGTTTTTTAATTTAATTTAATACTTATTAAATTAAAATTTTGATAATTCTAATCACTTTATAAAAACTGAAGTGAAAATTGTAAAATACTGAAGAGTAGACTATTGTTTTAATATTGGCAGTGAAAATCAAATTTTATTTTTATAGTTGTTTATTAAATTTATTTAATTAGATCTTAAAATAATTCCTTTTATTTGCTCATGCTTATGATTTCATTTATTTTATTTTATTATTGAAAGTATACATCATAAAATGCCTACTTATTACAAATGGTAAACATATTTTTGTATATAATCATTTTTAAAGGCAACGCAATACAAATATTAAATTAAACAATGTTTTAGGTCCTCAGCCAAAAAACAGGCACAAAAACATGAATATCCAAGTTTAGAAGTTTCTAACCATCCGTTAAAAGTAGAAGTTCATAATCTTGTATGTATTACATTGTTACAATATTCGACTTAAATTCAACGTTATGTATTATTAGAGATTTTTGTTCCAGAAAATGAGCGCAAATAAAAGTTTTCTTCAAAGTCTTCATAAATGTTGTTCACCCTTTGAGGAACTGGATCCATTATTAAGATTTGAACAAATGAATTTAGGCAATGTTAGTATTTATAATTTTAATAATTAGACATCCAGTATATTAGATTGTTATCATTGAAATTATTATTATAGAAATTATGTCAAATACTGAAAGATGAATGATTTATAATGTGGAAAAATAATATATTTTATTTCAGGATGATGGTCACTTAGAGAAAAATGATGTTTCAATTCATTATGGTAGAACTTGGAATGTAAAACGTTTAGCTATATTGAACAAATATACAACTGGTGAAAAATTAACAATTATCAGCAGTTTTCTACCAGGGGGTGAAAAAAGTGTGTTAATTTATATTATTTGTAGTTCAATTCGATTGCATTCACATTTTACTAACACTGATTTTTGTTTTTTTTTTTATATTTTAAGTTAGTTCCTTTTCAGCACTATTGAGACAGGTATCAAATCTTAATGAAAAGGTGAAACATAGATTAGAACAGCTTGATGATTTTGATGAATCGTCTGTAAGGAAAACAATGGGTTTAAGCCAACAGGAGTTTGTTACTAAGATTCATATGCTTAATGATGAGATCAAAAAGGTATTTCTAATCCATAATAATATATAAATGCGAAAGTAACTCTGTCTGTTATTTAAACAAAATTTAGTATGGAGATAGTTTGAGACCCTGGGAAGGACATAGGATTTTTACTCTGGAAATTATCCCTTATGGGGTGGAAAGGGGGACGGAACTTTGTATGGGAAATGAGTAAAAAAACCCAGCAGTAAATAGTAATTTTAATATAAATAATTAATTTTTGTCCTGACTGTTAGACCACTACTCAGACCAAAAGTCTAAAATAACACTATTTCCATAGAGAAATAGGAAGAAAGGATTTATATGTAAAGTAGTATTATGTTCTGGGGTGTTGGGCAATACAAAAGCAGCCCAGGGCAGATTTTAGTGATAAAATCCTATATTTTTTTTAATAAAATAAATTATTTAATTGAATTCTGTTTTAGTGTAAAATACTCGTATTATTTGTTTACAGGCTTGGGACAGTGAACAACGCGTGAAGGCATTTAAAATAGCTATTCAATGTTCGAAGCTACTTTCAGATATAAATGTGATGCAGTTTTATCCCAGCAAGTTTGTCTTAATAAGTGATGTTTTGGATAACTTTGGTGCTTTGGTTTTTGATCGCTTAAAAAATAAAAGTTTTGGGTAAGCTAAAGAAAATACTTATGGAAATTGGACAACTAGTTCTAGATGAAATGGCATGCTGATATTCAAATGAACTTTCTTCATAGAGAAGGCTTTGTATGTTTTTTATAGAATATTTATTTATGAAATGGTATATTATTGTAAAAAGCCAATTTATATTGTAAGATATATACACAATCTACATATAGTATCATAGGTCATTTCATTTTAATCATAGATTGGTGACATATTAAACATTCAATATATTTTACAGGTGGGCCATTTTTTATTCCTATTTAACATTATGTCATTACTTTTAACACTAAATACTAATTATTTAAAATACATATACATATGATGAAAATAGTTTATTTTAAGATAGTATAGATAAATTACACACTTCATTCTACTCCAGAGTCTGTCAGTTAGAGAAAAATTGCTACTTATAATCAGATGTTACATTGCAGTCGGCGAAAATCTGTAATTCATGCGTAATGTGTGTATGTTCGTGCATGCCTGCGTGTTTACGTGCGTATATGTTCATGTATATTTGTTACTCTCACTAGACAAAAACAAAGGCACAAATCCAACACTTCTCTATGAGGAAAATAAATTCCTTTGAAAGAAGTTACTTTAATTTACGTTATATATTCATCTTAACTCTTACTAATATTATAAATGTGAATGTTTAGATGTTGGGATGGATGTTTGTTACTCAATCACACCAGAAAGGCTGAACGGATCTAGATGAAATTTGGCACGGAGATAGATGATAGTCTAGAATAGCACATAGGTTACTTTTTATAGTACGGTTCCCGTGGGATAGATTTGTTTTTGTTTCTTTTTTTAAATAAGAGGTGAACCCGAGTAAATCAGTGTAAGCCGTAGTAATTAATATATTTTAAAAATGAAAAAACAAGATTTTTCATAGACACCATTATTAATTAATTATAACGTTATTTTATATTTTTGGTTTATTATTTTAGTAATGCAAATATAGAATTTGAAAACATCATATCTGCCAATGTTCCCGAGTCAGCTAGAGAAACCTGCCAGAATTGGATGTTTAAGATGGCTTCCATAAGAGAGCTACTGCCAAGATTGTACATGGAGATAGCATTACTCAAGTGCTATGTGTTTATTTCAAAAGAAGAAATAAAACCTTCAATTGCTAGACTAATAACAATGATCAGGGGCATTGGCAACCCCCTTGTAGCTGCTTATATCAGGGTGTATTTATGTAAAGTAGCATCGAAATTATTTGGAAAAGACAGTGAATGTTACTTTTATGATAATTTGAAGGAGTTCTTGATTGACTATCAACAGGTATAACTTTGATACTATTAAATTTTGCACTAAAAAAGCTGTCTTGCTATGATTGTTATTGTGAAGACTCTTTACTGGTTCTTAATCTAATAAGAAATAATTGATCTGAAGCTATTATGTTATTTTCTAAATATTTGCTAAACTTCTATACTTAGAGCTGGTTTACTTAGCGTTGCCCAGAATATTTCTATTGATTTATATTTGCAGATTTTTCATCCAGTAATGGCAAAGAAGTTTGGAACTCAATTATTAACAGCAGACCAATATCTCGGTCTTTACATACCAGCTGTTGATTGGATGCTTTTCGGAACATTAAACGCAACCAAATGTGAGGTTACACTCTTAGAAGAATTACTGCAGCAGTGTCAAAACACAGAAAACAGGTATCTAAACAGGAGCGTCGCACAAGATGTCGACTTTTGTTATTTTAGATATCTAATAATAAAATCTGCAGTATAGTTTTTCATTTATATCATATGCTATCATTGTCCGCGGCGCCGCCTGCGTTCAGATGACCAAAACCAAATTCTTAGGTTTTACATTTTAGTATACTCTTACAATGCAGTTTTTGTATTTTTTCTCAGAAATGAGACATTTCCCGCGGTAAAAAGTATGTTGACCCGGATAACCAGCTCTCACCATACCAAATTTCATCAAAATCCAGACAGACAGACAAAAATTCTAAAAACAATAGATTCGTCCTCTGTATCGATAATATTTCAATAAGATTTTCCAAAAAATATTTAATGTACAGATTCGGCTTAGTTACAATTTTATTATACGTATAGATTCGTGATTGCACATTAAAATAGATTCATAACAACAATACAGAGATCATTATGGGCAAAGACGAACTTATCCTTTTCCAGTTAATATATAATGAAAAATAATATTATAAAGCAGACTAAAATAGTGCATTAGTATGGTATTAAAGCACACAAAATTAATACGCCCTTGACCACTACAATCTTATTACATTTGAATTGGATATATTTGATAGTAGAAGGAAATGTGGCTTATTATTCGATAAATTAAAATTTAGATTTTTTGGGAATTTGAAGAGACGTAATTATTATTAAACGAATCCTAAGCTGCTGTTTATCGAGCCTGTTCTAGTATCTTTATAGTTTATCAGAGTGTGGAGGAGATAGGAATGCGTAATACTGTTTTTAACCCAACTTGTTTTTATCGTTTTTGCTCTTATTTTACACTATCGATATCGGGTTTCTTGTTTTTGGTAATTTTGTTATGATTTATATATTAAACGTACTATCATAATATAAATGAAACACACTTAGGTACATATTAATAATAATAGTAAAGGTAATGCATACTTTAAAATTACTTTACATGTATACATAATAAAGATTTTTAAGTAAGAATATTCTGTTGTTATTAGACATTGAAAATTAAGGTATATATTTTTATATATTTTTCTTTTTTCAGTGAACTTTTGCTTTGCTGCTTGGTGTCGGCTTTCAATTCTTCGAGTGTTATAGCAAAATCATCTACTATTCTGGATATTATTCAAAAATCGGCAGATCATATGGGTATTTTTTTAACATGTCTTTTATTAAGTGTTTTTGTAATTTAAAATAATACGTTTCTTGATAATATTTATTTTAGACGCAATGTTGTTTGCCGGAAATTGTTTTAAAATCCTTATAATATAAAAAAAAGACTATCATAGGTTAACAGTTCTTTTATGTCTGCTTGAATTAGTACTTAATTTTGGTACAGCTATTTCTAATTTGGTTACAAAAACTATATACTATATTAAAGTACAAATAAAGAATATTAATTTTTGACGACAAGTGTGGTTCAGTTTGTAAAGACCCTACTTGCTGTGCCAGCGGTCGCGGGTTCGCGTCCCGCTGGGGGCATTCATTTTGTACTCCAGTCATGGGTACATATTATATTTATAATATGTATGTATCTAAAGTTATATATGTGTAGTGTATCAACTATCTGGTATCCATAACACAAGCCTCGTAGCTTACCATGGAAAAGATGGTGCTGTGTGTTAATGTTCCAACATATTATTTATATATTTATTTCCTTTTAGTTCTCCTTAATCAAGTATTGACGTCGCTGGGCGAGCACCTCTGCCACGCCGAGCACTACCGCCACCCCGCCTCCGAAGCCTTGAGCCAGACCTGGTGGAAAATAGCAAGCAACATGAAATCCACTGCACATTTCTTACAAGTTCTTGAACCATGGCTACAATTTGCATGCACGCAGTTGTCGGTATGATATTTTTATTTTATTTTAAACAACAATATAATGTTTAGTAAATGAAATATTTGAGAACATAATATAGAACAGTAATTACTTGACCTTTCATTGTAAACATCAGGAAAATTATTACAGAGAAGATATTATAAGTAGTTAAATACGGTAGAGTTTTATCGGTTACACAGTTTGTAACTAACAAAGTAGTAGCTCTATTTTATCATATTTTTATAAATATGAAATGACTGTATTTTTAATAAATTTAAACACAATTTTAATGTTTGGTAATTAAAGCCTCGCGGCTTGAGTTAGGCCTTCACATGTAATTTTTTTTACATTACAATTTTGGTTTATGTCAGCTAAAAAAGTTATTTTTAAAGTGCTTTAGCACTTTAACAACCAGGATTTTTAATATTATTTTAATTCATTTCAAAAGGGGCATTATTGATTTCTCAAACTTAAGTAATGTCACGCTGTCGTATGGTCGTACTTTTGGTTGTTGGTTGGGACGCATTGATCGTTCAAATAATAAACTTGATTTTGCCTTGTCGATGTAGTTTGTGCTTAACTGGCAGGATTGCGAGTCACCAGCGATTTACCTTCACTTCGCTCGTGAGCGTTCATATGAGTTTTTTTTTTGCCATACATTTTATTGCTTTATATCAAACCATTAGCCTCTTATTAGAGAAAGAATTTTTATAATCGGATCAGTACTTAAGAGTATAAGGATTACTCCCTACATACAAAACATACAATGTTTTCTTCTTTACAATATTAGTAATAAATTATCAAAAAATTGGAGTTCAATAGATAAATATATTTATTGTTTCAGAGCCAACACATAAACATGTTGCTGCGCGGCACGATACGCTACATGATCAAGGGCGGTGCGCCCGCCGACGAGCACGGCGCGCCCGCACGGGCCGCCTTGCGCCGCGCGCTCAAGTCTATACCCGACGTTGAAGAACTTTTCTTAATGGTACAGTACGGTTAAATGGCGGCTCTGGACATCGTATCTTCTGATGTGCAGAACGTAATATAAGGTATCAACGGGGCGAACAAGTTTGTCGCCATCGAAATGTAGAGCCTCACACAGGAATATAAAGATATATGAGCTTCGCTTGCGCAGAGCAATATTATTATAGTATTTGTTTGGCGCTACAGGGGCGCCATCCCTGCCACATGAATCATTGATCTAATTCGCATCCCCGTCGCTTGTTCTGATTCGTTGTTTGTGCTGTCACGTAGACAACAAGCACACTTGTTTTCATTAATTAATATATAAATAAAGGAATCGAATGTCTAAATGGCACAAGTTAGCACTAAATTAAAACTATAAATAATTATTTATTTTAAATAAAACTAGTTTTTCGGAATTTTTCGTAGATTTGTTTTGATTTTTGGTTTCCGATGTTTCGAATGCTTTACAGCAATCATGGTCACGGGAGAGACTAAAGTTTTAGACGTCTTAAATGTCATTATATACTGTTTACAGACAGCATAACTTTTCTGAAAAAAAAATCCGAAAAGATAGTGTTACTTAAAACTAGCGGTTCGTCCCTAGGTTGATTCCCCATACAAATTTCCATCCCAATTTTTAACTCCCTTAAGATACTATAATAGATGATTTCCGGGATAAAAAGTATCCTATGTAATTCTCAGGGTCTCAAACTATCTTCTTACCAAATTTCATCTAAATCAGTTTAGTAGATCCAGAGATTCCTAATACAAGCTCAAAAACTTTACCTCTTTATAATATTAGTATAGATATCAAATATTGGCTTAAATCAAAGAATGGTTTATTTTTTATTACTATGTTAAAGTCGAAAATAGTCCTTTCTATTTTAATAATGTATTACCCGTATCTCGACGTATTTTTATTAAAAACAATAACCTTTTCACAGGATGCATTCATGCCACTGGTAGAGTTAGCGCAGACATCGAGCGCTCGCACCGTGATGGCGAAGACCGTGCTCTCAGTGTTCTTCGAGAGATACACCTCCGTACAAATAGGCGACCACATTATAATCTCCAGCCTCATGAGACTGTGTTGTATAGTTCACGACTCGATCAAGTAAGAGATACAGGTTTTGTAAAACTTGCTCCTGTCTACGGTTTATGTGTGGGCTATTTTATGTTACTATTTTTTAAATTTATTTTATAATAATTTTAATCTATTTCGCTGGCTCTCTTTGATGTATGGAGCTAAAGAATTCTTAAACTTAAGTCTTACAAAATGGTAGAATGCAGGTGGCATTTTTAACCGACTTCAAAAAAAGGAGGAGGTTCTCAATTCGTCGGGGACTTTTTTTTATGTATGTTCCCCGATTACTCGACGATGGCTGGACCGATTTGTAAAATTCTTTTTTTTTTGAAAGGGTATAGTTTCTAGTTGGTCCCATAGTCACCAAGTCACGATCTGATGATGGGATCCCAGGGAAATCGAAGGCAACTCTCAAATTTTATAGGCACTTATTACGTTTTTCATATATTTCCTAAAGCTGTTCAAGTATTTGCGTCTGATAATCATCATCTCCTGTGGTTGAGCTAATGATGGAAGGTACAACTCCTCAACGGTTAGGAGTTAAAAGAAAATTCTTTCAATATTATACGTAATTATAGACCGATGGTTAAATTCTTTCAGGCTCTTATTAACCGACTTCAAAAAAAGGAGGAGGTTCTCAATTCGTTGGGGACTTTTTTTTATGTATGTCGGAGACGAGTCATAATCACAACTAATCGGAACGCGAGTGCCACCTTTTTGGGCTCGACAGAGTCTACGTCGTGACACTCGACCTGGCTTGGCTGAGTTACGCTTGGTCGGTCGCACAGTGAACACTAGTAGAAACTGTCTTGCGTTCCGTATTGTCTATACGTGGTAATAGTGAAGTGGTATATGGCTGTGTAGTGAACTGCTTGCTATATGGTTGTGTAGTGAAATGCTGTGTAACTATGTACAAAGTGATTATTGTTAATTTGAAATACAACTGTGATTGCATCGACTTTCATTTGAACCAACACTTCCCATATAACGCCCACTGTATAAGTCATGATAAAATAATGAAAAATAATAGAGAAAATTAATGTTGCTTCGATATCAGAAGTGGGATCAGTGTTGGTTCAATTGCAAAAAGAACTAACTCTGAGTGAACAATGACGTGCTATGTTTGAACAACAAAATGTCAGTATGTGATCTCTTATCGAGGCCATGCCAATGCCTCGGATGAAGAAGAACGTCAGGTTACACGAGTTTGACCCTGACAATATGGATACGGACGCAAGATCTTGATTTGCGACTGTAGATTTGTGTTTTGCCGAATACCCTCCATACGGCGGCTAGCTTATTTAAACAGTCAGTAAGGAATTAAAAGGATAAGGGTCGACGTGGCTGTCACAATTTGTATACCAGAGAATAACATAGGAAGAGTTCAAAGTGATTTTCAAGGCGAGATTTATTTCCACCGAGACATTGGCTGGTACGCTAATTAATTTTAACAGTGACAAACCAAATGAAAAAAGAAACTCGTTACGTACGCAAATCGCCTGATGACGTCACTGACTAATCGTTGGAAAGACGCTAGCAAGAATCAGAAAGCAATTGCGACTGTCCTTGCTCACTTATGTCAGTTTAATTCGAAATTACAACGATTGGCCTTTACTACGAAAATTGCCTCGCGAGATCGACTGCAGCAGGGATTGCACGCATTCTCACATTTGAAACGCAAAGCTAGTTTATCTGATGATTTTTCAAAAGTGCCTGATGCTAAACGAGCCAAGCTAATGTTAAAATGTTATAAGTGCAGAAAAGTGAGTTATAAGCGGTCAGAGTGTAGAAGCAAGGTAAATGACAGTGTGGAACGACCTTCGATGACAGCAACGGCATTGCAGCCTGCAGTGAAGTCTCTGGTGTGCTTCAAATGTGGCAAGCCTGGTCACATCACGCTCCGGTGCATAAGTAGTGCCAGTCAAGTGGACGGCAGCAATATGGGTGCAACACGAACGGAACGACGCGTGGATGTATGTGCTGTACAACCATCTTCGAATGCTCAGTGGCATAGAGGTAATCTGTATTGCTTTTGTTATAATCATGGTGCTGAATATTCGTTAGTAAGATAACATTTAGCAGTCAAATTGTGTGGTTAACGATTTTGTCCTTGCAATTTCTAGTATTGATCAAAACGGAATATTCCGCACAGAGTAAAATTTGTTTTGTAACGATTAACGGTCATTCTCTTGAAATCTTTTGAAATATTATGTTTTGCCTAGTTATTAGTTACAAAATGGTATTATGATAGAACATGAGATATTGAAAGGTTTTCTATTAACATGACGGCTATAAATTCTTTACACAAAAATTCTAGTAGGTCATGTATCAATAGAGGTTGATGTTAATAATGATCATCATGCCAAGCAAATGTTTTAATGAAGTCGATGGAAACCAATGTAAGCATTCTGACGGCCGTAGTAGTGTCGACCGTACTAGTAACTATTACGTAGTCATAGCCTAGTAAAAGTCGGTCTTTTGAGGAAGCTCAAACTAAATAGACCGTGGGTGTGTGATGTGCGTTTAGTTCTGGCGGAGGTCGGGGTCTGTTATGACCATAGTGTGTAGTCATCGAGAGGATGATACATACGGTGATCTCGTAGTGGATGCACCTGGATTGTGGAGCAATTGTGATTGCTGGTTGGCTTGTAAGGCCGTGGCCTAAGAGTGGTTTACAGAGGTGCTAGTAAATTTGAAAATTAGTTTGATTGCTGAAGTGTTGAATGATGTTGGTACATGGCTCTGAATGACTAATGTTATTAGTTAGATTAGAGATAGTTACAGTGACTTGGAGTTTAAAAAAAAAAAACAAAGGTGTTAGCGTTAAAGCTTTTCGTTAGAATAAAGATGATTCAGATTCAAAGTTAAGTTTTATCTGGTCAGGATTGACCGAGTCGAGCAAGTATTTTCGTTGATTATTTGGTTGCAGGCTAACACACGGCTAACACACGAGGGCGTGTGCACGCAGGATGGCCGTGTCGGAGACGAGTCATAATCACAACTAATCGGAACGCGAGTGCCACCTTTTTGGGCTCGACAGAGTCTACGTCGTGACACTCGACCTGGCTTGGCTGAGTTACGCTTGGTCGGTCGCACAGTGAACACTAGTAGAAACTGTCTTGCGTTCCGTATTGTCTATACGTGGTAATAGTGAAGTGGTATATGGCTGTGTAGTGAACAGCTTGCTATATGGTTGTATAGTGAAATGCTGTGTAACTATGTACAAAGTGATTATTGTTAATTTGAAATACAACTGTGATTGCATCGACTTTCATTTGAACCAACACTTCCCATATAACGCCCACTGTATAAGTCATGATAAAATAATGAAAAATAATAGAGAAAATTAATGTTGCTTCGATATGTATGTTCCCCATTACTCGAAGATGGCTGGACCGATTTGGAAAATTCTTTTTTTGTTTGAAAGGGTATAGTTTCCAGGTGGTCACATAGTCACCAAGTCACAATCTGATGATGGGATCTCAGGGAAATCGAAGGAAAATCTCAAATTTTATAGGCACTTATTACGTTTTTCATATATTTTTGTGTTGTTTGAAAGTGTATACTTCCAGATTGGTCCCATTTAAATTTCAAAAAAAAACCACCCCTAAGGGTGGAAAAATAGCTAATGATGCATTTAACCTACTTCTAATTGTCATATTGACTTGAAACTTTGCAAGTGTTTCTATTTTCGTTGATAGTACAGTGGTTCGGTATTGTTGACCTGATCTGATGGTAAGGCCAGAAGGTGGATAGGTGGAACTCTTCAACGGCTAATAGTAGATACTTTGAGTTTGGGCTTATTTTGTTTGATTTGACAAGCCTAACACGTTAGAATTCTGACTTTGCTACTACTGTCTACACTAAAAAGGGAAAAATAAAAACTTTTTAACAAAAAATAAAAACCGACTTCAAACAAAAGCACTAAAAAGTAAAAAATAACTGATTGGTAGTTTTCATTTACTAGACATACCTAATCAAATATGATCGAAGTCGGTGTGCTTTGGCTAAATCATTAAAGCCTACCTATTAAATACATACCTAATCAAATATTTTCGAAATCGGTGCCAGCCCATACAAAGCAAAGCACACCGACTTCGAAAATATTTGATTAGGTATGTATAGTAAATGAAAACTACCAATCAGTTATTTTTTACTTTTTAGTGCTTTTGTTTGAAGTCGGTTTTTATTTTTTGTTAAAAAGTTTTTATGTTTGAAATTAATTATTTTTGTAGTTACAAACACTTATAGGAATAGAAATTAAAGCTTAAGGTTCTAACCGTACCGGCGATAGAAAATCCCAAGTCATACCTTATCAAAAGATAAAGAAGTTTTTATTTTGTATAATTTAATAACATGCTACTAGCAATTCAGAAAAAAATGTTGAGTCCTTAGAAGAACTGTTGCTGAAAGAAACTACGAGGGGTTAATAACTGATTATAATAAACCATTGTGATATTACACTTAACTGAGATTATATATTTTTTAAATTAATAAATATTTCCAGTGCTGTGACAGTCGAAGATGAAAGTAAATTTTGTGCGGAACTCATTAATAAGTTTATTCACGCTGTGACGTATCAGGACGATTTGGAGCAACAGTTGAATTTCTACGTCGAATGCCGATCAGCGTTTATAAAACTAGACTCAGTGCTCGTAGCTTTAATACATGTAAGTACAATCAACAGACTTTTAAAATTTTATAATTTGATCATTTTGAATAGCCAATCATAAAACATATAAAACTAGCAGCTAGCTGATCCGATAGACGTTGTCCCATAACATTTTAGGTATTCGCGTTCTATATTTGTAATTATAATGATACTACAGGACTTAAACGCGTGTGGCAAAGTAGTAAAATAGACGTTTTCCTGTCTAATATCCAATAAAGTTTGTGATTTTTGAGTTCATACGAAAGTACTATTCAAATACACACTTTATGTTAAACCGCAAAATGAAAAAAAAAACTATTTTTTTCCTTAAAAACCTTATTCGAACTATTACAAACATTTTAAAATATAGAATAGGTAGCCAAATAGCTCCAGCCTTTTTGTAAGAGTAAGTAAGTTTAAGTATTTACTAGAGAATGGAACAGTTGGAAAATTGCTTTTTAATTACACATCGCAGAAGACAAGTGTGATGCCGACTGACGCGATGTCAAAAACGGTTCGGATAGTATGTATAGGAATGTTCATTTTTCATCCTGAAAGAAGGTTTGTTACAATATATCCTTAAAAGAAAGATCGACCATTAAGAAAGGTTTTTTTAATTAAATCCCTAAACCATGAAAAAGAGTAGCAAATGCTGGAAATAATTTTCTGGTGTTAAATACAAAAGAAAGAAGTCGCTGCAAATTACTACATTTTTTATCACATGTGTAAAGTTGACTAAAAAGGATGGATAAATTTGTAAGTGTACAACGACAGAGGAACTTTTATAGACTTATAAGAAAAATAAAAATACGATGTAAACACATCCATCGACGATGTAAATCCAAGAGCTAGGCTAGTAACAGCAATCCGCTGGTAGGCCAACCTGTACCGCTCCCTTCGATTATGCAATCGTTCAGGGCGTGCGGTGATTGTTGTTAGCACAGTTTATTATTCCGTATAGTCTCCTAACGTGAAGTTTATCAGCTTAGAATACGCGCAGACGCGTTCATGACACGCGTCATCGGTGCATTTATAAAATATTGTGTACACAGCCTCTAAGACATTAGTCGTGTTGTTTCGGACGACCAGAACCAGGGTATGTCTAGTACCCGGAGGTCGACCTGGGACAATCTCCCAGACGTTCTTGGTGTACACGGCAGTATGTCCGTTCGCTGGTAATGTACGCCACCACGCACCCCTGAATGCGTAGCTTGGGTCCCGATCCACTAGGGTTTCTTCGTTGACAGGAGACTATACTTAGAGGCGATGAAATAAAAACACAATTTTTCCTTTTTTCTCTCTTGGTTTCGGTTCTTCCTTTTCCTTTTAGTTGTTGCCTCTTCGGTGGCTGTCTTGCGACTGACTCGAATCGAGAAATGGCTCGCCTTTTATTTGGCCCGTTAATACCTTACAGAGAGCCGCGTACTTTGAGCTCATTTTTCGAGTAAAATTTCCCTAAACCGAAACCTTGAGAGTCCTTTTATTTTATGTTTTCAGTAAAACACCTTACACATATTTATTTATTTACATGCCTTACATACTATTATACAATATTAAAACATAATATTCAATATATAATAATTAATTAAAAAAGTCTTAAAACAAAAATATCTAAATTTCTAGGTTGCTACATTTTTACTATACATTTTCCCTTATAACTTTTGAACGGATAGTCCTATCGACCTAATTCTTGTTTTATTATAAGTTTTATAATAAAATCTATTATTTAAAACATAAACTATTATGCTATTGCAAGAAACAAAAAATCTCATTTTCAAGTTACGTAATTATATGCTAACATTTTACTTACGTACCTATTCCTTTCAAATTAATGTTAAATAGTCTTATATGATTCAAATAAGCAAAAAATACTCTAAACTAACCTTATTACACTAATTAGAACTTATTTTAACATAATAAATCTAATAAGAATGAGATTTCATATTTACAACAATTATTCATAATACGCTAAAATGACATTGTCCCTATATTAATACACACGTTACTCGAAGATAGGTTTTCCGTCGCCGACACGTGTAGACTGTACGGACTATTAGAGTGTGCCAGTAACAAGAACGCGTTGGCAGGCAATCACGCACGCTTTACACGATTGCCCTGTCTAGGCGGCTAAATAGTGTGCTGGCGTACTTGATTGTTACTGATCAATAACGGCGGCAGGCGGTGAACGCGCTGTCGTGCGCGGAGGGCGCGCGGGGCGCGGGCGGACGCGGGTGGCTGCAGCGCGCGTGCGCCGCCTACTGCGGCGTGACGGCGCCGTCGCTGGGCTGCCCGCTGGCGCGCGCGCACCTGCACCTGCTCACCGCGCACGCCGCGCTGCTCGCCGGCAGCGTAGGACAGGGTATGTGCTCTTTTTCAACGTTAGGTCAATGTATTTATGTATACCATCTGTAAACAGCTGGTTATGTGGTCTCCCCGATGTGTGCTCACCTTGTTGGCGTGGCGGAGCTTATTAGCGTCCGATAATCAAAAAACGTACTGAGAAATCGGGTGCATAACAGACGACTTTATGATCTCTCTGATATTACGTATACTAAACATTAAATATTTATTAAAACAAAATATTTTATTTCGCACAGCTGAGGCAAACTTGAAGTCTTTCGTTAGCCTCATTCCTGACATTCCCCAATACATTCAAGAGGACGGACAAAACAAACCTACACACGATAAAGTAGTCGGGCTCATCAGCAATTTCTTATCCACTCTTCTTATATTGCCAGTGAGTTTAATACTACTAATTATTATTATTTCAATATATACATATTGTTAAATAGTAAAAAGTATAAATACTCCTATTTGAAAAGGTAATACTGATATATATATTTTATATAAACACTAATATAAACCATAATTTAATATGCATATTTTGTATGAAATTTTATTAATCTATACTAATATAATAAAGAGGAAAGATTTCAATTTTTGTTTGTTTGTATCGAATAGGATCCGAAAGTAGGTACTGAACCGATTTAAATGAAATTTGGTAAGAAGATAGTTTGAGTACCCTGGGAAAAACATAGGATAGTTTTTATGCCGAAAATCATCCCTTAAGAGGTTGAAAATGGGGATGAAAGTTTGTATGGGGAAGCAACCTAGGGATGAACCCGAGCTAAGCGAGGGTAAGTCGCTAGTTTATAATTAAACTGATAAATAACACTCTCTGACTGCCCTGCAGAGCATATAGGTATGTATAACTGCCTCGGTAGTGTAGTGGCTAACTTGTACAGCTGCACACCCGGAGGTCCTGGGTTCGAGTCCCGGGTCGGACCAAGTTTAGTTATTGAGTCTTTCTATATAGTAAGCCTCAGTAACAGCCCGGAGTTGGGAAGTTGGCGGTGTTTCACCCCCGTGCCTCGGAGAGCACGTAAAGCCGTCGGTCCTGCGCCTTAACTCTCACTGGTCGTGTCGAGTGGTCGTCCCACCGGAGTATGAGAGTGACAGGAATAGAGAGTGCACTTATGCCTGCGCGTACACTTGTGCACTATAATATCTCCTGCGCAGTTGGCTAGTCTCAATGAGATTGGCCGCCGTGGCCGGATTCGGTCAGGAGAACATCATAGGTTGTATTTATAAATGTACATGATTATCTGTATACTGTATAATAAGAGTCTCATAATAACAAAAGTATAATAATAACGTCGTCACTTCATTCTAATTTCATTTGAACAAAACGTTTAAAAGCAGTCCTGTTTACATTGTTTCTTGGCTAGATTTGGATATTATAAATAAGAAGTGTACCTAAATTATAAATTAAGTTTAGCTTTAATCGTAAGATCAAAATATTCTTGTTTATCATGTTTGGGAATATTAAAGATCTGTGTAATGTTTTATGAAAATTAACTTTCTTTATTGAGATTAATCTCATAATTTTGGTAATATAATATTTTTATGCAGACGTGTTTTGTATTTATAATATAATTAAAAACCAAATATAAACATCACTGCCAGTCAATTAACAACATTTTTATCTGCCAATACTCCGTTAAAAATCACATTTATGATAAAATACAATGACTGCATAAAATTATTATTTAATCATGTATTGATTTATTTACTTTTTATAGGATAACATGGATAGTAATTGCAAAGCGTACATACTGAGTGGATTTATAAAAACAATGGAAAGGATTCACTGGAAGAAAACTGATCCACAGTACTACACTATCCTACTTAGAACGTTGGATCTCCTCTGCCACATGACGCAGGAAATATATGTCTATCACATAGACGGAGGTATTATTTAGTTTAGTATTTATAGCATTTACATTTGGCTTCCAGCAAGACATTTTCATCAATGAATTTCTGAACAAATAATAGTTTTTTAGTTCTATCTAACGACGAGTTGTATGGGGCGGAAGAAGAATTCGTCGAAGTTATAGAGAATCACGCGACCAATATATGCCAAGAACTACTGGTTGTTTTAAAGGCATTGGGAGACGCTAAAGAAACAAAAAAGCAATATAATTTAGCGTTAGAATTGTTTTGGCGGATCATCAGACGAGGCGACCTTCGGGAAGGTTCCATGGCCAGCTTGGCGGCTAACTTGTGGGTTCTATCGCAAAAACTTCAGGACTCTATTGACAAATACGCGGTAATATTTATTTAGTCTTTTATAATTTTATACGTAAAATTATAGGTCTTACAACTTAAATTACTGTAAAATTTTGCAGCTGTATGTGGAACGTACTCTAAACATTCGTATGAAAGACCTTTGCGACTGTTTTTGGTGAAAATTTAATGTGTTTATTTCAAGCATAAGTTTTCAGTTTTCAATAAATAAAAAGAATAAATACTTAAGGTATATAATATTGAATAGTGCTTGTATAAGTCAACATAGAGTATTTCAATTTTAAAGTTTTAGCATTTCTAGAAACCTGTCCAGACTGCTTTTTGTAATGGAACTCTCGGAAAATATTTTTTTTGCAACCTCATTTTAATCTTATCCGATATATATATTTTGTATTAGAAATGGGCTTACTTTACTTCATCTTAGCTCGAAGGCACAGATAAGCAGAAGCCTGTTAACACGCACCTTAAATAGATTCAGGTTATACGCACTCGGAAAAACAGACGCAGGCAGAGCATTCCACTTCTTGGCTGTGCGCATTATAAAAGATTACGAATAGTGCTTAGTGCGAGTGGTCGGAATTATTAAAGATATAAAAACGATGTAATAATATAAACGACATGATTATTAGATTTAGTGTTGGAGCGATAAATTTTAAATTCATGTCTATTTCGTTTGTTACAGAAAACAATGCTAATATCCTTGGAAAATGACAAAAACCCGGCGAGTCAGCGACTGTTTGAGAAGTTAAAGGGAGGAAGTTAAGAATTTACGATTTTTGTTACATCACAACATTTACTATTTCATTCCATGTAATTTGTATGTTATTAAGAAAACAAGAATTAAAGTAGTATGTATTCAAACTGCTATTTTGTCCTTTATTTATTTGCCCATATACAGGTGTTGTACTAAAGTTTAAGCTTCTAATATTCTCCATATATAACACTCGTTTCAGTAATTTTTTACTTTTTTATGTATGGAAGTCAGTTTTTTTAAGTTTTTATTTTTCCATTTTTAGTGAAGACGTAGTAGCAAAGTATTATAATAAAATATTCGCTTAAGCCATTTAAGTTTGATTAATAAATTAAAATTCGCTTTTATTAGTAAACCTAAAAATTCAGGCTCTAAACTCCAACTCTTAACGTATTGGGTTAGTCAAATCAAGCAAAATAAGCCCAATCTCAAATAATTTACTATTAGCCGTTGAAGAGTTCCACTATGCACCTTCAGGCCTCACCATCAGATCAGCTCAACAAAACCGAATCAGTAACCTATTAACGGAAGTACAAAAACTTTCAAACTTACAAGTCTATATGACAATTAGAATTGGGTTAAATTTTCATTACCTTTTTGTTCACCCTTAAGGTGGTTTTTTTTAAACTTAAATGAGACCAAACTAGAAGTATACGCTTTCAAACAAAAAAAAGTATTTTCCAAATCGGTTATTAAATGACGGAGTTCTAAGGTAAAAAAAAAAAACATTTTTTAAATATTTTAATCGGCTTCCCTAGACGCGCCCCTTTATATAGAAGACTTATATTGTGGTGAAAGTACTCAATAGAGTGCAAGGTAACCTCTTTTATGTTAATCTGCCGCGCTCGAGTAACTACAGAAAATCCCCTCTTGGGCTCCCCTACTATAAATAGTTAAAACAGGTTTATAACACGTTCTATTTTTAGATATGAGTAGATTTTTTCTTTATTTAAAACTAGCTGCTCATCCTCATTTCGCTTGGGTATACGTCCTTATATATATATATATATATATATATATATATATATATATATATATATATAATTAATATATATAGATAGATTATATATATTATATGATATACATATAGCCTAAGCCTTCCTCAATAAACGGGCTATATAATGCAAAAAGAATTTTTCAAATCGGATTAGTAGGTACTCGTAGTTCCTGAGATTAACGCGTTCAAACAAATAAACAAACATACAAACTCTGCCTCTTTATAATATTAGTAATTAAAATTCATGTCGAATATTGTGCGCGGTTCATTGGTTTTCTTAAAATAATTATTAGTTGGTTATTTTTAAAAGTAGGTACTTTTTATTTACCTAATTTACAAATAATCCATGACCGACAAGTTTCAATAGTTAATGAAATACTCGTAGATAATTAGTGAAACTAGCTACCCAAAATTGTTACAATTATTGTATTTCTTTGATTACTCGTTTCGTTGAGCTATTAATCTAAAAGATGATCAGTCATTCAGCTTACAGTGTTCACTATAATTACACCAACAAATATTTTTTGAAAGAAAACAACTAAGACAAAGGCATTCAACATTTATATATAGCGTATTCAAGTTGTGATACCTTCGGAGCCTATTGCAGATATTGACCCCAAGAGTCACTAGCGGATGGAGTAAGCGGACATTGTCCGGCAAGACACGCTTGAGTGGTGCGCGCGCTCTGTTGCACCGATCTTTCCCCTTCGCAATATTGACGCCTATAAAACCTTGTCTTAGTAAAACTATGACGTTACTTTCATCTCGACATAACGCAGAAATACAGCCAAATATAGAGAAGGACCAATAAAATATTACCGACACCTATTTGGGTTCATACCCATTCTAAAATGTTGAAAATAAGTTGCCTGGTACGAAATTTAACTAAATAAATATTAATGGATATATTTAAGTAAATAATACTTACTTAAATAATAAATATTTATTTAAATATATCGACGATTTTTATATGCTTCTTTTAATTTGCAGTTTATGATTTGGATTGCGTGTGGGAGTGTGTCTTGCAACGAGGAAGATAACGGGTTTGTGCAAGCATTGGATTTTGGTCCCATTTTCAACGGCGATGATTCTGGTACGCAAATATTTTATTAACATTATGTGTTTTTTTGGACGCTTTTTTATTACTATAAGTATATTATGAGTCTTGTAACAAACCGCTTTATATGCTTGCAGGCATAGCGTCGTTGGCTTCAAGTCCAATAGCCGCTGCACTTCTTAAAGTAGACAAAAGTCAATATCCACAATTATTTGACACAGTTGTTAGTAGTTCTATCGATTCGTTGCAAAGTCGAGTAGCGCCTAGAGAAAGTGTATTTGATGCAAGTAACTTTGGTTTTAATCCCATTGCAAGTCAAAGCTTTCTCCCTTATGGGAAGCCGGCGCAAATTGTAGCACAGCACCAGCCAAACTCTCAAAATGTCCAATTAAGCCCTCTAAGATATGACATAAGAACAATACATGACCCTAATTATAGAGTCTATAAGACGGAAAGTGAAGTGACTGAAGGGAAAGAAATTTTAGCAGCGTTGAAAAAAAATCCAACAGTTGCTGCGTACTTTCAGCCTAATGTTAATGTCGAAGTAAATCATCCTATACAATATCGCAAAGAAGAATTGATAGAAAAATTTGAAGGTGAACAAAACTACAAGCAAAATCCTTATCTTGCAGGACCCGCACGTATTCGTCGCTATACGGGAGGAAGAAGCAGGGAGAATTTGAAGGAAGCTGAAGACGATGATGACGAGGATGACCCCTACAATTACCGAGCTGAATATGTATCGAAGCCTAAGGCTTTTGATGAAAGCCCGTATAGCAGCCCATACAAAAAAAAGAAGAAGTCTGACGACAAATACGAATACCCTTATAGTTATGATTCAGGTTATGATCATAAAGAATATGAAAGGATAAAAGAATTATCAGAGCAACAAGCTGCTGAAATCAAGCAAAACCCAGGAAATTGTAAAGAAGTTAAAAAGGATGGTATGTCATGTATGACTTGTAAGGACCCCAAAACAGGAGGAAACTATGAATCATGTTCGTATGTTGCGGAACCCAAAAATAATCAATACGCTTACTCTAAAGAAAAAAAGTTTGACAGCAATGATGAACCTGATGAAGATGAAGATGAAAATTCTGGTGAATCAACTAAAGCTGAAAAAATACAAAAAGCTAGTGTAGATGAAACTGCTCCTCAAAAATTTACTGAATCTAAAGATAAACCTTACAGTAGCTACAGACAGGCAGACAAGGTAGACGATTCGGGTGAAAAATACAAAGCATTTTACGTTCATTCATCAAAGCCTAAAACCAACGAAGCACTTAAAGCTACAAGTGATGATAGTTCCGAAGATGCAAAACCAAAGTCTTATGATTACAATAAAGCGTTGCCCGATTTTTATACTGATAACGAACCCAAAAAAGACGTTGAGCACGTTTTAGCTGAATTTAAAAAAAAAGATAGATCTGCGTGTAAAAAAGTGCAGAAAAACTCTATGACTTGTTTCCAGTGTGTAGACAAAAACGGTCAAAAGAATGAGGAATGCATGTTTGTTTCTGAATCGGCACCAAAACAAAGTCACCTAGCATACCAAGAAGTGAAAGAATTTGGCTCGAAACCAGCTAGCGGAAGTAATGAAGCTGCTGAAAGTCAAGTTGTTGCTACAAGTGCTACCCCACCACAAAAATCAGCGGCATATGTAGCTTCTACATCAAACAGGAGTAAAAAACTAAAACGCAAAAAAACCCCGCAGGTGTCAGCTGCTGCTTCCAGCCCAATAGCGAAAACTGCCCAAAAAGTTAAACGTAGTGAAGGGTCGGAGGCCGAGAATAACGCTAAAATTATAGATGTATCAAACATAGGTCGTCCTGAAGATTTTGCTGGAGCTGAATCTAAAGCCGCTTTTTCGTCAGAAGTAGAGCCTCGGTATAGCGCAACGCTTGGTGTCACTTTGCCCGAGTACATGTTATCAAGATCAGAACATGAAGCTTCGTTTGACGAAGCAGTCGCAGGGGCATAAATTGCCCAAGCTTGTTAGTCAATATCAAACAAATGGAGCGTGACAATAGAACTTTTAAATTAAGACCCGTTTCGATGACGGGTAGTAGTAATTTCTTGCATAATAGAATTCGATTTCACAGATTGATCTAACCATAAAAAACAAAAAAAAAGTACCTAGAGGAAATTGTTTTCACATCATTATTTTTTGCGACAGTGTGTACTATTTGAACTATCGCAATGTACGCTACGAGAAGTTTATGTAATTTAGTATAGGATATTGTTATTCTTTAATTGACTGCTCAACTTTATCAATTTATTGTTAACTAGTTTTAGATATTCGAATTAAAATATATTTTTTAACCTGTTTTTTTTTCGTATCTATTTTTGTTTTCAATCATAAAAAAATAAGTTATTTAAAGAAAATTTAATATTAAATCTCATTTACAAATCAATATTCATATTTAATATCGCTTGTCTTTTTTTGCCAAGGTTGAAGGTCCGATTTCCTTTTATGTTGAATTAACGTAATAATTGCTAGTATGTATGTATTGTATATTTTCCTAAATAAATTTTTAATAAAAATTTATATTAAAAAAAAAGTTCATTCATAAAATTAATTGTTATTAAAGGAATGTGATTTTAACACAATTTAATACCTATAGGCTGTAAGGAAGTTTCAGTAAGAACTTAATACAGTTAATTAATATATTTAACGTACCTTACATTCGTAATGTGGTAAATATCTCTAGAGCACTACTCTTTCAAGATATACCTAAAACTTAAATAACATAACATTGTTTGCTTATGATTAATAAATAGGTATAATAAAACAGGTCAACGTAATTGAATCTAAATTGTTGGCATGAAATTCGGTCAGCGTCCTAGATGTCAATAGTGCTTTAATGATCTTATTTTACTGGTAATTGTCCAAGCTACGTCATAGAGGAACGGCTGAGAATCAGATTCTCTTGGATACGAGAGAAAGTAATTAATTTCAGTTTCTTTCTTCATGTGCCTCAGTACAGTATTCAGTGATTATAAATAAATATTGCTTGAGATTATAGTAGCCAATAATACAACGCTTCAATATAAGCCCGGCGCAGTGCAGTTTAGTTGTGTACAATACAAAGCTCGTGAATTAATTACTGAATTATACTTGTAAGTATATACATATACAAGTAATATAATAAATTATTGTTTTATTGGAAATGGATCTATCATTTGTTTGTGGATTTGTTTATTGGTTTTACGTACTATTTTTATAGATACTAACAAATAAATATTTTTTGATTACAAGCAATAAACTTGTTTATATTTTTTGTAAATATACAATTTATTATAGATTTTTTTACTTACTATTTTTCAAGTTTTGTGTTTTATTCAAATTTTAAATCAAGCTACTACGGAATTAGACATATTTTTATCTAAAAATAATTAATAGTGTTCAGGAGTTTTATATTGGTTCGATTAAATATTCTCATATAGTCCCTGGGTACGTTTTATCGGTTATTATGGAATAGATAGACTATATATTATGTATGCATACATAGGTATGATGAGTTGTTGTATTTCCCGTGGAAATGAGATAATCTCGCGCGGTAAAATGTAGCTTGTGTCACTTTCCAGTCCTCCAATTATCTCCACACAAAAAGCAATCCAACCCGTCACTCCGTTTCGACGTGAAAAGAGGACAAACAAACAAACACACTTTCACATTTATAATATTAGTATGGATATGGATTTAAATGTTTGGTATAAATGCTAGATATTTTTTTAAAACCAAAGCTCCAATATTACCTACATTGTAACAAATAAAAAATAGGTACTTACTACAATAAAAAATATAAACCAAAATAAATTCTTAGATTTGTATAAAGACTATGTAATTTCGATATGATCATCGTTTAATATATAATCGATTATATTATGAGAACCTATATATAATATATAAATCATACATCTACATAATGTCTGTATTAGGTAGGTATGTATGTATGTAAATATTGTTTGATTGACGTTAGGTTAAAAGAACTTTCGGTCTCAATAAAATAAATCTTGTCATTGTGCCAGCTAGTACTTTAATAAAAAATTCTATTGCGTCGTTGTTTCATATGAAGCAGACTGCGATGTTTATTTTGGTACAACAGTAAGTTCGCTAAAGCCTCGATCCGTTGGCCTTCTAATGAAATTTGTTTTGTATTCAGACTGCGCTAGGAATGCCGGTTATAACTGCAATTGCGTATATAATTAAAATAATAAAACAAAATTAAAGCGTTTGGCTTATTATTATTAAACCTTTATTTTACATGAGTAAAATTAAGCCGACTTTGATAATGTTTGTGTCTGAAATAAAAAAGGTGGCGCAGTTTGAGTAGCACTTCCTTCTAGTATACCTTCTTGTGTAACTATTAGAAGAAACTTGCCTGCTCTAGTCACTAGTATATGTACGGCTGCAGATCATGAATCTATTTAGGAGTTTTATCCAGAATCATAAGTAGTACCCCAGACTTAGGAAGTTAGTAGTATTATGCTGTCTCATCAGAAACAAGAAAAATGATTTCAATTATATTATGTTGACAGTAGAATGTAATTTAATACACTCTATTCCTTTCACCCATAATTTGATGGGAATCCAACACGACCAGGTTCAGGGTATTTTTTAAAATCTTATAATATATATTTTTTTCTTTTGTAAATTTTAAAATTCAATAATGAATCGATATTTTTATTGCCATCTATTGACAATTAATGGAAAAAATTTAATACACTTACAATAAAAGTATCTTTTCGGATTTTTTCGCGGATTTATCTTGATATTTAGTTTTTATCGTTTCGAATGTTATGTTGTTATAAAATATAAAAAAATAGCAATTCAAATTAGAGAGTTTCAAATTGTTAATTCCATTCAATTCTAATGTTCAATGGCTTCTAGTAGTGCCGTTTGGGCACCGTTTACTTCGCCAATGTTGCGTAGAATTTTAAATTGTTAATCTATAGTAACACTAATTAGAATTAATTATATCAAAATTGTTAGGTATTTCGTTGAAATTTCATTTTTTTTTTAAATTAATGTATAATTTAGTAGGTACGTAATAATACACGTCTAAAACCTTAGTCTCTCCCGTGACCATGATTGCTGTAAAGAATTCGAAATGTGGGGAACCAAAAATCAAAATAAATCCCCGACAAAATCCGAAAAGACAGCTTAATTGTATATTTTTAAATATTCGCATAAATCTAAGAAAGTATTTATTATATTTTGCAGTTAGCCACTTATTACTGTTTATTATATACTTATTATTGGGTTTATTACATACTTATTATTTAACTGCCTCGGTGGTGTAGTGGCTAGCATGTACGGCTGCACACCCGGAGGTCCTGGGTTCGAGTCCCGGGTCGGGCCAAGTTTAGTTATTGAGTCTTCCTGTATAGTAAGTCTCAGTAACAGCCCGGAGTTGGGAAGTTGGCGGTGTTTCACCCCCGTGCCTCGGAGAGCACGTAAAGCCGTCGGTCCTGCGCCGACACTCTCACTGGTCGTGTCGAGTGGTCGTCCCACCGGAGTATGACAGTGATAGGAATAGAGAGTGCACTTGTGTCTGCGCGTACACTTGAGCACTATAATATCTCCTGCGCAGTTGGCTAATCTCATTGAGATTGGCCGCCGTGGCCGGAATCGGCTAGGAGGACATCATAATTATTGGGTTCAAAGTTTTGGATACTTTACATATTATACATATACATAACGAAAACAAATACTTCTTCCAGGCAAAAAACGACTTCCAGGCACTAAAATGTAAAAAAAATAACTAAACGGGGGTTTTTATTTCGATCAATTAGATATTTTCGAAGTCGATGCCAGCCGACTTGGAAAATATCAGATTAGGTATATTCTTTGTAAGAAGAAAGTTTTTTAATAACATCGATTAAAAAATTTATTTAAAAAATGATTTATTATTGATTTTTAAAAAAATGCTTGACCGATTTCGATATCATTTACAAGGGACCACCTGGGAAGTATACCCTTTGAAACAAGAAAAGAATTTTCCAAATCGGTTCAGGCTAGGCATGGAACATTTCACGAGTAGCAAGTGAAAAATCACATGAAATGCGCTATCACACGTCACACCTGCTACTTAAATTCACAGTGACTGCTACAAATCACAGCTTGGTGGCTTGAGGGATTGCGATACTACATACATTGTAATAGTTAGTGTAAATATTTAATATACCAATTTACTTAAGTTTTGTGTTTTCGTTGTAATTTTATTTAAATAAATATAGATAGTAGTTACTAGTTAGTGTAAATATAACAATTTAGTTAAGTTTTCTGTTTTCGTTATAATTAGGTATAAATAACATTGGTGACATTTCATACTTCATTTTAATAGCAAATAATAAACACACCGGCATATTTAGCGGAACATAAAATAAAGGTTTGATATCAGTATCAAATAAGGTTGCTGGCTGGTTTATACTTCATTTAATTTAAAAAGAAATATTTTCAAATTAAGAAAACAACAACAACATCACATTTTATGCAATTGTTTTAATTTTATTCAAATACACCTTATCTGGAGCGAACTTCGAGTATTTCTTCCTTCTGAGTTTGATTTAAAATTTCATTGAAATACTGTTTTTTGTTAGTTTTTTTTTAATCGCGTATCTTTTTGGAGTTGAGGACTGAATTATGCCTGACTTAGACCCAACGGAGATTGCCAGGGCACTCGAAATGCGAAGAAATGGTCAAACCTACATAGTGTAACATTTAGTTATTTTATGTGCCAGTTCGTAGATTTTGAATATAGATGTTTGATATGTCAAGTGGACAGTCGGTGATTCGCATTATATGAGTTAGGAATATAAAATAAAAATGTAAAATGAGTATACAGAAAAAGCGAGAAATATAATTGTTAATTGCCAAATATTTGTCTTCCTGGAAAACCCTTCTGAGCTGTTTTAGCTCAGAAGTGGGATTACTGCAAAAATATACTGTTTTTGTAACGCCCACGGATCATC